ATTATTTTATAAAATACACATATTTAAAAATATTCTTAACTAACTTGTCATAAATTTTTTATCTGTTAGATTAACTATGACGTATGATTTTTTTAATAATATTATTGTGCAAGAAAATTTCATCACGAATTTTTTCTCATGCGTAGTAAAAATTTGCCTTTTATATGTTCCAAGGGGAGGAATGGTTACAACAAGAAATTCTTTCTCCCATATCACGTGTTCTTCATCTTTCTCCTTTTTTTTGTCTAAATTTCAAACAACAATACTCTACTCCTGCAGGATCTAGTGAAACAGGAGAGAGTTTGAATTAAGTGAGAAAGCTTCGGTAGAAATATCACACCAGGTAAGGGGAAGTTTAATTCATTCAATATATGAAATTGAATTGTTGGGTACTCTATGAATAAGGAATATGAGTAGAAATATGAGTTATTTGAATGTCTGATTTTGAAGAATTTATGATTCTGATGAACTGTTCACTGTTTGAAAGTTTTTGAAATTATTAAAATTAAGGATGAATTATATGGTAAAATTTTTGTTTTCAACTTAAATTAGATATAATTCATGTTTAATTTGAATCTGGGACTAGTTTGGTTGTCTAAAACTGAGTAATTTGAAATCCGCTAAAATCTGCAAATTTGGATAACGTTACTGGTGCGAGGAATAAGAAAGAGATATGGAAGGAATTTTAAAAAATGTTCAAGGGTAAAATAGTAATTTTACATCCTAGGGACATAAATGGAATTTTCGAAAATGTCCAAGGGCAAAATAGTCATTTTCGGGATATGGAAGGAATTTTTAGAAATGTCCAAGGGTAAAATAGTCATTTAGGGACATATATGGAATTTTAAGAAAATATTAAAGGTAAAATAGTAATTTAATGATTTTGGAAATGATTTCGAAATGATTTCGAAATAACTTCGATATATATATATATATATATATATATATATATATATATATATATATATATATAATATAGAATGAAATTAGTAATTCTAAATAATCAGCAGTGTGTTGTGACGTGTGTGGGTCAGACTGAGCTTGAGGGTTGATGCCCAGAATCAGTCATGAGATGTTATATATTGGCTAGACTGAGCGGGAGGGTTGGTGCCCAAAATCAGTCAAATACTATTATTTATTGAACCAAATGAGCCGTGAGGACAGGTGGTCCATAATTTGACATATGTGAATGATTTTTTGTTGTGTTTGAATGGTGTCCGGGGTGGTAGAGTACATTAGTGTAATAAGTATGTCGGAGGATTTTGAATAAGGTCTCAGACTTCACTTATTGGTCGGGTCAGGTAGACTACGATATCAGGTGGTGAGAAGTCGATGGAAGGGATGGCTGGTGGCACGCTCGGAGGGGTACTCCAGTATGAGTGATGAAGGGTGCCAGTAATCCTACTCTGTGTGGAGGGTGGTCAGAATGGTATTGCGGGTGTCAATCATAATGTGCCCACAAATAATAGTTCTAAGTTCGGGCATAGTTAGGGTATACTTCTGGAAGGTGTCTTAGTGTGTTGATGATTTCGTGTTTGATCATAATATATAATTATTACTTCTATATTTGTTTTATTGTATCGAATGATTTAATACTTACCCTTATTTTTCCATGTGGATGGGAATGCGATGATCACTTTTATGTGGGAGCAGATCAGGAATTGAGAGAGATGTGACTACTGGACAATAGGGATAACTTCGAGGGAGCTACTTTTACATGTATAATATATAAATAAATTATGTTACTATATTTTGAGGTTCCGTTAATGAACTGAACTTTCAATCTATGTTACAATTACAGTAATATAATGTAAAATATATGTCGTTATTTACTTGTTTAGTATTTTATGAATGCATCATTATAGTAACAATTTATAGAGTCGTTACATTAACTATCTCAATAAATAAAATTAATCATATATCACATTCTATTCATAACTCCATACTTATTTTTATTCAGTGGTGTTATTTAATTTGTACAAACACACAATATCAATAAAATAAAAACATAGAAGGAAACTAACAATTTAAAAATGATATTTTAAAATATATTTACAATATTTATTATTATTATTTTACATATTTATACATCGTATTCATAGAAGTCCATTATCATGTTATATATACACTTCATGACTTTTAGAAATTTAAATATTATATTAAACTCACAAATTTTAACCTTTCACATTACAACTCTTTATAAATGTTAATTTTAAAATACTCACAATAATATACATACACTTTTATGTGACAAAAATTATTTGTATGATCCTTCTATATATATAATTTCATTTATTAATAAAGTTTAAGTTTAATACTCGTAAATATTATACTACATACTTGAAATTCATAATTTTCCTATCACAACGATCATCACAAATCTCATAAAATCATATTATATACATCTCATTATAAATCATCATTTTACAAATGATAATATATAATTCAAAATCATACATATTAACATAACAAAAATACTAAAAATTACAATTCTCCATTTATCAAAATGATAAAAAATATTAAAATATAAAAAGTTGTTGAAATATAAAAATAAAGTGAAATGTAAATAAATTTAACATTAAAAATAATATAAAATACATGTGTATTTAAAATATATAAAATATTTTCTTTAGATGACATATTTGGTCACTCAACATATTAGACATATTATATTTATCTAGCTACAAGTTCTACTTACTCAGACACTTGCTCATCAACCAAATATCTCGGGTTTTAATGGAGTAATTTTTTTTAACAAATAAATTATCGTCCTAATGATTGAAATTCTCGAGTTTTTCTTAAAATAAATTTCACTTAATAAATAAATGATAGATAAATAAGTAAATGATCGTCCAACTACTAAAACTTTGGGATTCTCACTAAAATTTTTCCAACTCATTAAGACATCTTTTCAAATAATTGTGACAAATTCACCTCAATATATTTAATTATTGTGACCTGTAGTACTGTAGATAACAAAACTAGTTTCCTTTTCCTTCTTCACATTACATTTAAGTTTGAAAAACCTAAATTTCTATACTCTCAGAACAAAGTCCAGATACAAATACTATGACTTCACATATAACTTTAAATCCCAACCTTCAAAATACTCTAAAATTAAATATGAAAAATTTACTTTATTTAAAATTTTAATAAAAATAAATAATTTTCTATATTTAAAAAATATTAAGACGTGCTTGAATTTATATAAAAAAAAACAAGAGAAGAAATATAAAAAGAGACAAGTAAAAAAATGGTAGAAAAATAAAAGTTTTATGACAATAAAATTTTTGAATAGTTATTTTTTTATTTATAATAATTTTTATTTTAACTAACAAAGTATAAGACTTAACTTCCATTAAATCAATGATATTTTTTACTTATTTTAGGATCTGATTGAGCGTCAAAGTTAAAAAAAGTTTCTCTAGACTTTGGGATATTTTTTATTTTTATAATTTTTAAATTATAACTTCAGTATTTTTAATAGTCTAACTAAATTCAACTTTTTATATAATAATAATAATAATAATAATAATAATAATAATAATAATAGTTTTAATAACTTTAAATGAAGAAGAAGGATCAATTTGATAGTTGAAAGTGTATAATTATTTAATTTATTTTTAAAATTTAGATTAATTAAAATAAACATTATAAACTAATTTTATTATAATTTAATTCACAGAAGTAAGGATTTAAAAAGTATTTTTAAAATAAAATAAATATATAATTATTTTCAATAAATGATTACTTTATTTAATAATATTTATGAATTAATAGAAAAAATATAAACTTTGAACGACGGAAAAATCTTCAGCGTTTAAACAATAAGAAACACACCTTAAAATAAGGTACAATAACATGCAATTTTATAGTCCGCACCTGAGAGCACAATAATTTATCGATTTTAGGTGTATGCCTAGTAAATTCAGTAGGTTTACCTAACGTAGACATTCATCATGCACACACTATTACCTCATTATTACTATGTTAATGTACCTATATTATGAAAATTTTAATATATAAAAAATTATTATTATATTTGGACTTTTATTTAATATTCTCTATCCTATTTTACTTTATGTTTTAATGAAAATAATTGTCTCATTTTCTGATATAAAGTAAAATATTAATTAAATATTTTGTATCATATCAATCAACTTATTATAAAATAGAAAAATAAGAGATTATATAATAATATTACGAAGTATAACATTTTTTTTCATTTCTACATCAAAATTTTAAATGTCAAATAATACGCACTAGTATTTTATTACTAAAAATAATTATACTTTAAATTTTAACATATTAATTATATTAAGATAATGAAAGAAGACTAAAATATCAAATAATAATGAAAGGGAGAATTTATAATAGTATGTTACGTGGAGAAGATAAATGTAGTTTGACTAATAAGATGCCAGCCTTACAAGGCACACAACTCCAATTATAAAGAATCAAGTGAGTTATGCCTTTAATAATCATCTAACATGGAATTCAACTCCTCTTTAATTAAATTCCCCTTTTACAACACTTTGGGTTGGGAGATTAATTTCTCTTACACCACACCTCTTTCAACATAATATTATAGAGTATTAATCAAGATAATTTTAGAAAAATATTTAATTCACATATAATTGATTTTGTAGTACTCTAATAAATTTATAAAATCTATAAAAAAAGTTATTTATCTAAAATATTTTTCCAATCTAAAATGATGTTATTCAAGTTTTTCCTAGATATTTTAAGGATTAAAATTACAAACATATGGAAAATAAAGTAATGGTATAAATTATAGTAAAATATAAAAAAGTATTAAAAAACAGTATTAAGATATTTGAAATGAAAACAAAAAAGGATATATATCATAAGTGTCAAAGGTGCCTCTCCCATGATCCTGTCTCCCTCAGCACAAAACAAGCCATAATGGAAGCTTAACGAAGATAGCACTCTCATAGAGGGAAGTGGTGGTCCAATCCAAGGAAGAAGAAGAAGAAAAGATGGAGAATTATTCGTACCAATCATACCCTGATTCTGGCGACTCATCTCCACGCTCTAGAGAGATCGACTTCGACAACCCTCCTCCTCCATGGGACGAACAACAACAACAAAATTACAAGGTCAAGTTCATGTGCAGCTATGGCGGCAAGATCCACCCACGCTCCCACGACAACCAACTATCCTACGTCGGTGGCGACACCAAGATCCTCGCCGTCGACCGCTCCATCAAGTTTCCCGCCCTGCTCGCGAAACTCTCTGCCCTCTGCGACGCCGGGCCACAAGAGAGCAACGGCAACAGCCTGACCTTCAAGTACCAGCTCCCCGGCGAAGACCTCGACGCTCTCATCTCCGTCACCAACGACGACGACCTCGACCACATGATGCACGAGTACGATCGCCTCTACCGCGGTTCCGCTAGACCCGCCCGCATGCGATTATTCCTCTTTCTCAACGATACTCTTCCTTCTTCTCCTCCTGCTTCCACACCGCTCCAACCTGTGATCAAACCTAATAACGTGGATTTCCTCTTCGGTCTCGAGAAAGGCGCTGCTGGCGCTGTGGCGGCTCCGCCGCCTCAGATTCCGCCTGCGGCGGTCAAATTTCATGATCCGGTGCCGGAGCCCGTCGCGCCGCCTCCGGAGTACCAGTCGCGGCTGAATTTGAACCCTGTGGATAGGGTTTCGGCTTCGGATCCGAGCTCGATTCAGCGCCAGTTGCAGCAATTGCAAATTGCGGAGAGCGAGCAAGGCGTGTATCGGAGGAAGAGTGAGGAGAATTACTCCGCCGGTGATTATTACGTTCATAAGCTTCCTGAGAAGTTCCCTCCGACAAATTTTCAGGCCAGCGCGCCGGGTTATTGGCCGGAAAAGCAAGTTTCCGGAGAAGCCTATCCGCCGGCGGTGTCGGCTGCGTCCGGCGGAGGAGAAGCGCCGGTTTACATGATTCCCGCTCCTGGGACGTACTATCATGCGCCGGTGGTGCGGCCTCCGGCCACTCAGGGGTACTACGCGGTGCAGCGAATGGCTTCAGATGGTTACCGCGAAGCGGCGGTGTACGGCGGCGTGACACAGCCTAAATCGGCGCCTCCGGCGAACCTGTCGCCAGCTCAGCAGGCGGTTAAGGCTCCCGCGTATACGGAAGGATTCGGTGTGGTTCGGTCAGGTGGGATAGTGGATAATACGGGTGCTCCGTATGCACAGGTGGCGTACGATAGTGCAAGTGGGAGACAGGTTTATTATACTGCACCGGCTGGTGTAGTGCACGCTCCTCCTTACCAAGGGGTTTTTCCACCGGTCACCGCTGATATGAGACAAACTCCGGTCACGTTGGGTCAAGATGTTAAAGTGTTAAACAAAGTTACTCAAGGTTCAGTGTGATTATCCAAAAATAATGGTTCAGTGTGATTACTGATTAAGATTATGTTTATCACTAAATATGTTTCTCATTTTCTTTATTTACTATCTTTTGTTTGAAATCCTGTTTATGTAATAGGAATAATATTATTAGGTTTTACTTTTCGCCCTCTATTTTTGTACACAATGTGTCCACGATGGTTATATATTATATTGCTATGCTATGTCTTCGTGTAGATTTTTCTTTCTTTACTACTATTAATCGTGTCTTGATTTGATAGTGTTTTTCTTTCTCTTAACTTTTTTTTTTCTTCATTCTAATTCTTTTAACAATTTTACTTTGAATTAATTCCCATGATTTCATTATCTTATGATCAGAACGCTTGTCCCGCAGTATTCGGTCACCATGGATACTTGCTTGTTAATTTTTGCAGAACTAGACTTAGAGATTGTAATTTCTTTGGTTTCTTCTACTTTTAGCAATGATGCTTGTAATGCTTGTTTTCTTGGTATGATCTCCTAGGTTCTTTCTTTTGCCATTTTTAAAAGTAAAAAAGTGTACCTTCCATTAACGAAGAAACACTTCTAAACACTCTTTTAAGTAATGATGATCAAGGTTCGTGATTGTTAACCCCATCATCTTTAAGAACTCGTAATAAAGATAAAACTTAATTATTTTACTTTGAAAAAGTACTATTCCCTTTGCATGATTTTGGATTCTATTGTTCGCTACACTGAAATTCACTCAAAGTTTGAATATCGATGTCGTAACTGATGTCTCCTCTTTTCTTAAAAAAAAAAGTTACCACCATTTGAAGTTCTTCCTATTTAGGATCGATGTAATTAAAAACGCTTTTAGCATATTCAAAAGTAGAAGGGAGAATAGTCCAAAAGAGGTTGTCCCTCAAAGCCAATCCATTTTTTTAGTCTAAAAAGATATTCATTTATCATCAGTAATCAGTAAAACTTGTCTCCTTGATCTGTTTTTATGAACGCATACATGATGCAGCTTATATTGAAAAAAGAGTTGAGAAAATGAGAAGTTTTAAACAAACAATTGGGTGAGAAATTAAACAGTGAAAAGTTGAATAACCAAAAAGGTAGTTCAATATGGCAGAAAGGGCGTTCAAACGTGGAAAATAAAAAATTGTCTTAGTCTTGGTCCACCTTCTATCCTAGACATTGAGTGTGCATCAAAGGCTACTACCACAGAAAGGAACAAAAGTGTTGCAATCAGACCTCTGATATTATGGCCAATTAAGATAATTTCGGATAGAACCTTTTCATTTCCCATATAGCAGGGCTTGACGTGTGCGCAGGGTTTAGTTAGACGCTCCCATCCAAAACAAAATCATAATTATTTTATTATGCTAGAAACAACAAAAAGGGCAACCATAAGAGGTGGAATTAAAATTTCATTTTTCCAAACACCAGGTGTGCATTATCTCAAGAATCAAACGCCCATGATTGCCCCCACCACATCTTCTTCCTTTGAATTTAAGTAGAACGGTGAGTCTCTTTCACCCCATTTTTTCTTCAACCTCCATTATGGCTTCACACTACCACAAGTCGCTGTTTTGATTACATACTTCGAGACACCTCGGCGCTTCCCGCCAATATCTTTTGGAAAGGTGGATGGAGTTGTTACTATAAATTGATTGTTTTATTAACAAAAATCGCAAAGATATCAGTAAAAAATAAAGGAAATGTTATAAAAATTTAATAACTATGCGACATAGTTATAAAAACTATAGTTGGTGTAATATTTGAGATAGTTACTTTAAAAAAAGTCATTAAACTTGTTATTTTGAGAAGTTTAAATAGTTTTAATAAACTTATGACACAAGCAAAGCAACTAATTAACCACTAGTTCACGTTATTACTTAAAGGTACTAAACCATGACTTAATCCCCCGCTTTATAATTGAATCTACTTATTTGACTTCACTGTTGTCTTTCTTTTATTTACTAAAATAGTTGAAGAAACTTCACATAAAGAAAACGTAAAAGTGAGCCAGTACTTATTAATATATATTATATTTGTTGTTAAGATTTATAAGTATACTAACATAATGTGTTATTTATGGCCCTCGTACATGTATTGCTCTTAGTTTTTACTATGAGGTATATTTTAAAAGAGATTTTGGTTTATTATAAGACATTTTATAGTTTTTATATGATTTTTTATTTCTTTCTATTGAATATTTTGATTATTTTTTTTATTAATAATGACAACAGAATTTTAAAAATCATTAATAATGAGAGTTCACTTAATATATTGATAATATTTTTTTAAAAAGAAACAATAAAATCAACTTAATTAATTTTATTGATAATATGATTCTACCAAAAATGTTTTAGATTACTGATAGAGGAAATATATTTTAAGTTGATTGTTGTAAATTTGTTGTTATTACAACAATAGCTTAAGGATAGCTAATATAAAACTGAAAGAAATTAATTGTGTCCGTTAATTTTTTTAATTTTTTATAATGAAACTAGGATATAAAAACTTGTGTGTTGCGCGGCCATTTTTTTATATATAATAACAAACCCATAAACTTTGCAGAAGTCATGTAATTTTAAGTACATGCTAATAATTTTCTTTTGTTAGATTAAATAATAAGCTATTACGTGACTAGAATATAAAATAGCGAAAAAAGATATTAATTGTCACTAAAAAAACTGTTTTCTTCATTATACATTTTATTTAACATATATTGCCACTAAAAAATGAAACAAAAATGGAATAGTTAATCTGATCCAAAGGTTGGGTTGGACCCATAAATTGGACGGGAAAGGAATAAACGTTGTGTCAAATATATTACGAAGAACATCATAGTAGATGATTAGGTATTGTAGTGGTCTCCAAATGTCTCTGTCAACCCATTTATTTCCATCTTTGCATCAAATAGTTGCCTTTATTTTTTTGTTTCCAACATTACAACAACAGAAAAAACATGTTTCAATTACAGATTTGTATCATACAAGGTCCATTTAAAATAGAATTTAGTTTATGAATAAAAAATGAAAATTAATTTCAATTTTGAGTGAAATATTATAATTTTTCTGGAGATTATCAAATATTCAAGCAATTATAAAACAATAAAATTTTTTCATACCCATTTAATAGATTTCTGGATCCTCCTCCATTTGCAGTTGCTATTGAACTGCAAAAGATCTTTATCCATAGATGGATTATTCAGTATGGCATCCAATTGAAGTCAAGTTTCTCATGTTTCTGATTCTGAGTATGGCCATACCAAATTTCAGTTGTCTAGTCACCCAAGATACAAGTTTTTTAATATATGGCTATTGATTTTGTTTAAATCTGATCAGGTTGTAAAATTTTAGTTCAATATCAAATTAATTGTGTTAGATTAGTTTTGGTTAAAAACTTGATTCAATTACTTTAGACCCAAAAACAATTAGTTCAATTCTCAACTTAAATTCTTGCACAAAACTTTCATCTCTGACATTCTTTTGCTTTAGTAGCTGTCATTAATAGCACCTTAATTGGCCTTTGGATTTTGCTGAGATCAACTTAATACTGAAAGTTTGCATTTGATACCAGCGTCAATCAATGATGATTGCCACCATTTGTCACACATAATGTAAATTTATCCTCAGCCTCTTCATAAATTGGTTTTTCTAAGGCCAGAGAAGATTCATATTACATGAAGATGAATTCTCACTAAAATTAAAGCCATTGCATGAAATGAATGGTAAATTTACCAAAAAAGAATCAAGACAGACAACTTGTTGGAAAAAGAATAACTCAGTCAAAGAAATGTAGCAAAAATGAAAGCGACAACGAGGTTATGTTACTTTTTCTAATTAAATATAGTGAGAGTATGTATTCCCTATTCACGCAGATTGAGCTTATTTTGGAAGGTTAAATCATTCTTATGTTGAAAAGAAAGGTAATAACATCAAATTTTGCTAACAATAACGAGTATGAAGCACTTCGGAGAATGATTTATGCACAAATGCGAATAAGAATTTTTCACATTAGCAGGAATGGATGACATACAAGTATAAAAATATGCTATGGGTCTTTTATGGAGTGATTTTCAGGATGAGACAACACCATTAATACATCAATCTGATCTACCTTCAACAAAAAAAACACTTAAAATATTAGGATATGAATATTCCGTTTTATAGACTGTTGTTCGATTCTTATCAGAAAATTTTTTGATACGAAATTATTTTTTCATAGTCATCTATTAAGACAAATCTTCTTATACCACCGGAAGAATTCATTTGAAAAAGACAATACCAACGAAACAGGAGTTCAGCTCATATAAAAGATTGATATGGCATTCAACCTTAGACTTTCTCAATCCTATCCAAGAGGACAACTAGTCACTTGTATATATAAGTTTAAAGTTATCCATTTTACTAAAAAGAGGTCTTCAATGGCAGGGTGAAACTGAGAGAGCCCTTTTTTCTTCCTGTGTTAGGGAAATGGACAGACAGGTAGGTAGCTCCTGGCACGGCTTGAACTTTGGAACAAACACGTTTATTCCTGAAACAACCCTACACAGCCCTGAAAGTGGAAATGCAGCATGGCTTCAATATTGCTAAGGTCTATCTTTGCTGCAAATACCAACTTTCAAAATTCAGATTTCATTTTTAGGCACGGTTTTGTTCTCATTCATGTGTGTGAAAGGCTATTTAAGCAAACCTTCCAGCAGTTATGTGCTGTTATGATGATGAATTCTACTGCATTTATTGCCACTTTAAGCCATGAATTTACCCAAGTGATTCTTGGTATCCAACTCTTGCCACTTTACATCTGATCTTTTCATACTTGGTCTTCTCTAAAGCATGTGCTACAGTTCCCTGGTTTTCAATCACCCTTTGCAGCCACAAAAACTATTGAAAAGAAAACGTGAATAAAGTTATCCCAAATTTTCTTCTATTCATTGGTATGCTAATTTCCATCAGTGTAATCTCCAATAACAAGACTGTTTTCCCTTCCATGAACTCTAGCATCTTAGTTATTGCATCCTAATGATTTGAACCAAAGTATGGTCAGAAAGGAAGTTCACAAGAGGAAATATAGATACCAGGAAAGTCTTTCCCAAAAGGAGAGACTTAGAAGTTTTAAGTTTAGAATTTAACACTTTTCCAAATGAACCAGCAGCAGTCACTGTTATACATACACAGATAATACCAATGATAATGCAAAACTAGAAAAGTTATGCTCGCAGAACCCAAAACCGAGTATTGACTGTTCAATGGTTTAACTGTTGTACTTGGCCATAGACTAGCACAAGTATTAAGATTGGATTTCAAAGTATGAGAAGTTTGTGAAATCCATTTCTATTTAACTTGAGACTTCAATTGAGACTTGAATTCCAACAAACAACAAACATGTTCAGCTTATTGACAATAATGAAGGGTCTGGAAGGATATTAAGAATAAGTTACAATCCCTAGCCACTTGGCAGAGGCAGAACTTGGTCCCTTTCAAGATCACATTATATTCTTAAGGCTCTAGTAAGTAGAAGTATGTATAGAAAGAGATAATTCTTCATTTTTTTTCAAGAAACTTCGCCACAAGAATTTAAGGTTTCACATTTAGCCCTTGTTGCTTGATTCTTAAAAGAACCTCTGCTTTCAGAGACTGGACTTTAGTCCAACATGTAATTTACCTGTTGTAAAATAAATCAGCACTTCCGAGATTCCTTTTAACTGATCATAAAAAGGATAAAAAACAACTCAGAAACTCGTGATCAATCTGAACTTGTGCACATAGGAACATTTTACATTTCGAAAGTAATATGATTTTCACAATTCATTGTCGAATTTACATTAGATGTCTTTCTGCAACTACTAAGCATCCCCTTTAGAGGCTTCTCAAAAGTATATCTGGATGATCTCAAAGTAATCTTTATCCGAGTACGCTCAATTAAATTAAACACATTGACACCCATAGTTCAAGCATTATTAACGGTGTGCACTAATATTCTGTATAATTTTTTTTTTGTCAAGAACCAAATGATCTACAAAGGTCTAAAGTTGTCAATAAAATACTTTTATAGTACAGAGTATTTACTCGGGTAGCATGATCATTCTGTGGAGTAAAGAGGTACCCCACAAGGCCACAACCGCAGTTCATTACTCATTGCTGTACAAATAGCTTTTCTTGTTGATTGTTGGTTGTACATAGATTGATTTTTTACTCCATGATTCCTTCCCCCATAGGCAAGCTACTTGGGGCAGGTTATAGCCATTAGCCCAAAATGTGAAAAAATGCTATGGATGATCTACAAGGACAAACTTACAAACAAACTCGAATCAATACGTTAACAAAGAGATCTGTGTAGAAAGATTAAAGAATCAGCTAAATGGGTATCCAGTTTAACCACAATAAGCAGTTGTTAGATTCTTAAATAATTACTCAAGTTATGGTTATCCTAATTAAAGTTTCTCATAAAGAACTTAGAAGACGCGGTAATAGCGTGTACAACTGTGGAAAGAATATATTCGGCTTTAAAGCTTCTACTAACCCAAAATGCTAAGATAGGTACCATTCCCCACGAATAGCAAGCACCCTCAACTCAACATGTGACTACTTTTTGGACTCAAACTTTGTATTCACATGGGACAGGACAGCAAGCCAAGCCTTTCTCACCCTTTTATTTATTACAACAACTGATCAATCAAAGAAGTTTCGGAGAAAGAGAAACTGCACAAGAGTATGCTTGCCCTCGAATCAATCCACGTGTCAAAAAAGGAGCTACAAACTTTTTGAGATGTTATTTTACTTGTATTTAGTAAATTAGTTAAATTAAGGATAGAACTTGTGTATGCACTGTTTATGACACCATTTGCATTCTCTTCGATCAAAATAGAAGTATTTAATGGTGTTTTTCATTATCACATAAAACTTAATTTCTAAAAAACAGTATTTATGATATTAAATTTAAACTTTCTTGTTAAAATAAATAGTCACTGGAATCTATAGCTAGAAAAAGCAGGACTTGTTTTAGATGTTATCGTTCAATTATTCTTCCTCTAAGATGGTGGCGGTGGATAACTTTTGCAAAGTAAGATATAAAGAAAAATGTAATAGAATCAAACAGTGACTTTGAAGGTACAAGCCAACAAACATCCAATTAGTGTGAAATGAAATGAAATGCCATTTCTGGATCTTTCTTCTTAATTCTCTCCACCAATTATACTCTCCCTGCCTTCTTCAGTACACACACACACACACACATATATATATATATATATACACACACATCAAACTCTTGTATTCCAACCCAAGAACAAGTCCTGTCTTCCGAGAAATATTTTGGGTCTTTCTGGTTTTTGCAAAGGGTCTTAATCTTGCTGAGATGAGTGAGATCAAATTTGGCAATCCATACCCAGCTCAAGGTAGTTATATATATACACATGCATAAATATGTTTATATATATATATATATATATATATAGAGAGAGAGAGAGAGAGAGAGAGAGATTTCAGTTTTCAGCTCTCAAATTATCATGTTCAACTCTTCTTACCATATATTCTTTTGAATTTCATTAATCCTCTTTCTTTGTATGGAAATAAAAGAAAGTTGTTGTTTAGTTGCTAGTTGATCAGTTTTTTGTCTAGTATATATGTCATGACCTGAATTTGAAACATTTTTTAATTTGTATTTTTGTCAATTATTACTGAATAGTTATTGTTGTTATGTCCACACAGGTCCTTATCAGGGGCCGCCTCCTGTGGCGGCACCTCCACAGTACTATGCTGCTCCACCGCCCAGAAGAGAACCGGGTTTCCTTGAGGGATGGTAAGCTTTTACAATATCTTGTTTTCTCTTCATTTAAACAAAATAACATCAAGTTTTGACTTTTAATGATTTTTCTCCTCAAATTTGAGCTTAAAAAGATGACTATTTTAGTTTTTAATTTATAAAAAATGTCAAATATTTGTTGATTTTGTTCATCATTAATTTTATTGGGAAAAATTGACTGATCAAGTGGGAAAATCACATGAGTTAAGATTTTCAGTTTTACTTGTATGAAAATTTGTTGGTTAACAAAATATTTATATTCATTATAATCATCTTTTATTATTTTGATCCTGAAAGTAGAATATTTCTAACTATACCAAAATTGAAGGGAATAAAAGATTTTTATGAGCTAAGAGAAGAAGATATTTTAGCATAGATATTCTTTTCATGTTGAAGGCCACACTCATAACTTTGTTTTTGTATTTTTTCTCCAATATGCAGCCTAGCGGCTCTGTGTTGCTGTTGTCTTTTGGACGAGTGTTGCTGTGACCCAACTTTTATTTTTGCTGGTTGATGCTTATGCTATCACTTCAAATACACAGTTTCATTGTCATATAACAGTTTCATTGTTTAGTGGATCCATCAGATTATTATGTATGAATGAGTAGTAATGAATATATTACTTTTCCTGTGTTCATTAGAAAAAAAAAACAATTTTCTTTTTGTTGCTGTACTATTTCATATTTCCTTTCTGGTTCCTTTTTGTTGCTGACGTATTTTTTATATTTTACATTTTAAGATAATTCTAATTATATTTTATCTATTATAAATAAATAAGGGATAAAATTTATAATAAAAAATTAATATACACTTCTATAAAATTACGAACATTTATTATACTTTTTGATACATGTGTATTAGAAAAACTATTACAAAAAAAAAAAGATAAAGATATTAAATTAATATACACTTCTATAAAATTACGAACATTTATTATACTTTTTGATACATGAAACGTTTCTACATCTTCTTTCTTATTCTTTATTTTTGTTTTTTAACTCTTCTTATTTCCTTTTTTAGTCCGAATTATTTTATAGTTTTTTTATCATAAAAAACTAAATTTTAAGAATTAATTCATAAAATTAATATTAAACAAATTAAATTAAGTTTTGTATTAATTAATTCTCGTCTCAAGTTTGTTTGTTTTTTAATCTCAATTTTGTATATCAATATGTTAATTTGTAGTATTATTTTTAAAATTTAAATTAAGAATCAATTCAATTGATTAGATTAAATGGTATTAAGATTTAATTTATACAATTAATTGAATCCATTAATTTTTTAAAGTTGAATTAAAATCTTTAAAATATTGTGATAAAAAGGATTGTTTAAAGTTGAATTTAAATCTTTAAAGTATTGTGATAAAAAGGATTATTTGATTGATAATCCTTCAATTGATTTATCTTTTGAATTTTTTTTTCTATTGTATTTTACCATTTTTGTTTACATTTTTTAATCTTCAATTTTATTTTTTATTAAATAATACTAAAAATTGGATATATTTTAATATTTATTTTTAAAAAAATTTACTTAGATTGCATCCTATATTATAAAAAATTAAAAATAATATTAGTATATTTAATTTGATGAACAACATTTAAAATCAGTGTCTACCCAATTACTCTCATAAGGCTAAATAAGAAAGGAAAACCAAACATTTTGATGTAAAACAACTCACTTGATCATTCGTCAATTATGTTACTGTTTTGGAAGTGGAATCTTTACTTGCTTCTCTTTCAACTACATTAATATACATCCTAACTTTTTATTTTGTTGGAATCATATTTCAATTAAATAAATTAACTATTTATTTTATGATGTGGCCACATGTAAGACAACTTATGGACGAGTCTACCAAAAGAAGGAAAGAACCCGTCACGGAAGACTTAAACAATGCAACGATCGATATAAGTGCAATAGAAGGATTAGATTAGAATTCTTTTAGTTAATTAAGATGGAATCAAATATGAATTTTTTGTAGTCTTTCAATGGGATTATGCTCTCATATTTTATATTAAGACAAACGTATTAGTAATATGTTAAGACATGACATTTGATATTTTTATCTTCTGCTAAAGATAATTCATCTTTTATGACACTTTGTTGCTTAATTACATTTTTTTTAAGATCACTTAAAGTTCATAAAGATCAACTCGTTTATTAACAAATATAATCAAAATAGCACGATACTTAATTCTAATTTATATCTTTTCCTCCACTCATAGAATATAGCTATAATACAAAAACACTCACAAATTACCAATGTAAATATAAAAATATTCAAAAAAAAAACTTATCATATTTTCATTTTAAATTTCTTTTATCAACTAATATTTTTTCTTGTCATTTTTAAATATTTTTCGATATTTAGTATAATTTCATTATTTTACAAATAATATCTTCTTCGTTATCATCTTCTAATCCACTCATTAAAGAAAATTATATTTTATTTTTCTTTATACTAAATCAATAGATTCTAATTCAACAATGAACTATATATATATATATATATATATATATATATATATATATATATATATATATATATAGGTTTATAAGTGTATTTTTTATTAAAATTATTATTAAGTATTTAAATTTTTTTATTTTATTTCTTAATTTTATATATTTAAATTAATTGATAACTGCTTTATGTATAATACTAATTATTATTAATTTATATTATTTAAAATATAAATTATTTCCATTAATTTAGATCTTAGGTTAATTTGTCCCTCTGGTGTAAATGCTACACCCTAAAAAAATAAAAAATAACATGATAAAAAAAATTAGATTAATTTTTGATAAAAAGTTGGAAAGAAATTTTTTTATTATAATTGAAGAAAAGATAACTGAATAATATAAATAAATAAATACTAAAATATATAGAAAATAAAATATGGATAAAAAAAAATAACTATTAAAAAACTAACAAAATACATAAAGAGAAAAAACTGAAAAAGATACTAACAAGCTTACGGAATAATATTCTATCAATTTATCACATCATGAATTTTATATATATACCATTAAATATTTTGAATTTATAAAATATATTTTCAATTAGAGGAACTCAACTAACATGAATTTTAGAAAAATATATTTTTCTTATTTTTAACCTTTTTCCCTATGTTTTTGCAATCCTGATAATAGGTTTAAGAAGCACATAACTATTTTTTTATATTAAAATAATGAATTTGAATGCTACTAAGAGACTTAATTTAACATACTGGAGATGTTATCAATTTGAGACTTGAATTAATAAAATGGACTTTCATTTAAATGATTGGTAAATTGAATTCGAAACACAAATAATAGCGTTAAAAACGTACTTTTATAAAAATAATTATGCAAAAAAAAAAAGTTAAATTTTTTTTTAAGCAGTACTGTACTTTATACGTAAAAAAATAGTTACAAGCAAAGATGAATCTATTCTAATTATGTAAAAACAATACTTTTAAAAACAATATTTAAAACATATTTAAATATATGTTAATTTATATTTAAATTTCTAATATCATTTATTAAAATATATAATATTTATATCCATTTCATAGTTATATATGATATATATCCTCTACTTTACAAAAAATCTTCAAAATTGAACGAAAAGAAAAAAAAAAGGTTGAAATCCCAAAACAAGTGAACCCAAATAAGAATCATCCATTGAAGTTTTATTTTGTTGGGTGCCATGGTTTCTGCATGTATTTTTAGGTTTTTAAACTCTGAAAACTTAATTCATATTCAAAATGTTATTAGCCCTTTTATCCATCTCTACGTAAATACACGTAGAAAGTGTGGTACGGAGACGAAAAAAACTTTTAATGTATGAAATGTGTTTTAGTTTCTAGACATTTAATATGAATACATTTTTTTATTTAATTAAAGTTTGTTGAAAACTATGAAACTAAATGTCGTGCATTATCTCATTCCATGACATTGACCAACTCTCTGTTGGGATTCATCCATAGATTCAAGGCATCGTGTATGGAAGCATACGCAAACTGTGGTGATCGCGCAGTTGTGACGTTGTACAAATAAATAAATATATATATATATATATATATATATATATATATATATATATATATATATATATATTGTACTTTTTAATGACTAATCATATCATCCTGGTACTTATAAAGTAACAAAACAAATATCATTAGTAAGTAAGAAATATACTCACTAGCTATAACTTTATAAAAACCATTGAAAAAAATATATTTGAGCTTGATATAATTAAAAATAAATAAAATTTCTTTACAAATTAATGTAAATTTCCGTTATATATATATATATATATATATATATATATATATAATATTATTACCGTGCAACACACGGAATATATTATTTACTTAGAATTTAATCATATTAAATACATAATAAAAATGTAAATTATAATAAATAAGAAGATAATTTATAATATTATTAAAAATATATTTAATAAGAATTATTTGTATATAATTATATACTTTAACATGTATTTTAATAAACTTATAATTAAAATTAGTAACAAAATATAAAATAAAAAGAATATAATAAATAATATATTAATATTAAATAAACATTTATATATGATAAAAACATTACTATATTATAAGAACTATTTAAAAAAAATTAAATATTTGTATAAGATTATATATTTTTTTACTTACATACATTTTCTTCATCCATAATTTAAATTTTTAATTTTTTTTATTCTAGATATTGTCAAATATAGTTGATCAAATAAAGATAGAATGTGGAAGAAAAAGTCAAACTTTATTTAATGATTATCTTGACTTTTGCTTATTTATATTAGAAAACATAATCACAAAGAAAATTGTATTCTCTAACATTTAAAGAAAATCTGAATATGAAAATATAAAATCTATTACTGATATAAATATTTTCTCACAAATATTTTTTTTCTATAATAAGATAAATAACCTTAACCTTATATATATATATATATATATATATATATATATATATATGATGTTTTTAGTATATTTTTTATTTATAAAAATATATTATTAATTAAATTATGTAACTGGTTATTAAAATAGATTTGTTTTTTAAAAAAGTTTTTATTAAGGTTAAATATGTATTGCTTTTATATATTTTTTAAAACTTTATTTTGGTTCTCTATATTTAAAAATAATTAAGTAGTCCTCAATCTTCAAAATATATTTTTAAAATTGTTTATATTAATTAATTTCGTTATTTAGCGATATTTTAAAGATTAACAAAATTGATAAAAGGAATAATTATGATTTTACTTTTTTACACTTGAATTAAATATTTATTACTACTTTTTGTTGTTAATATAAAGTTGACAAAAGATAAAATTTACATATTTTTAAAATTTTTGAAAAATAATTAAATTAATTTTAATATAAGAATTAAAATCAAATTTGTCAAAATAAAATATAGGATGAAATATATATATATATATATATATATGTATGTATGTATGTATATGTATATAATATTTTTTTATTATTATAAATAATGGTAGTAGAAAAAGATTTTGTACAATTCTTGTAATTTTTTATGAAATTTTGGACTCTTATATTAAATAATTTTTTAGTTTTATTGCTCCAATATTATTGGAATAACATATTATATTTTAGGGACGTGCACATCACATGCATAACAAATAATACTTATGGTATCCCCAATTAAGAATGGGTCCTCAAAATCTCGTATAATATTCATTGATTAAATTAAAAGAGAAACATTAAAAGCAACTAAAGTGTGTATTATATATTACACACATTCTTTTTTCTTGTAAACCTTACAATTTTGACATAAAAAAGGATAAATCAAGTAAATAGGAAAAATAAAAATAAAAATATAAATAAATTTTAACAATAAATGCTAAATACAAAAGATTCTGGTCACACCTTCCAAATGCTAAACCAAACTAAAGTAAATGACGCAAGAGTAAAACAAAATTGCCACAAAAGCAAGCAAAAAAAAAAAGTGTAAAAGGACGAAAAAGGACCAGCCCATGGAAATCTCGTTGTACGATTCGAATAATTGAAAAATGTAAGCGTATATCTATACGGTAAAGCAGTGACAGAAAAAAAAATTAAAATTTATATTTAAATGTTACTAATATATAACTAACACTAAACTCACTTAATAGTTAGTTTTGAATGAAAACAGAAAAATTATAATTATATATGAAAGGATTCTTTATAATCGTTTTTTATAATAGTTTTTAAAAAATTATTATTATAATTTATATATTTAAAAATAGAAAAAAATTAAATTTTAAAATAATATTTTAAGAAGTTTAATTATAAAAAAAATGTGAATAACAATATTTCCTAATAATAATAATAATAGGTCAATGAACACTAAAAAACTAATTCTTGTGGTGTAAAATTGCTGAAGAGTAATTAATATGACATTAAATTAATTGACAATTAGTCAGTTACGTACTGGTGAGTTAATTTCAAACTCAACTACTGTTGTTATTAACCGCGGAACCCTAAAATGTTGAATAAACTTTTCAATTTTTTATATTGTAGTTGTCCTCTAAAATTTTAAACACGTTTTTAAATTTTGAATAAAAAATTAAATATACATTTTTTTAATCTTTGTTAATAATAACAAAAAACTGAATCCAAATGACTATCTCAACACAATGCTAATTATATATCTAAACATGACTATTTTAATTACAAAATTCGTATATTAATATAGTTATTCATATTTTATTTCATCTATCATTGTTATTAACCATAACCTAAAAAATGTTTAGATTAAAAAAACAAAATAATAAGATTAGAATTTTATAAATAAGAAAAGTGTTTGTATCATCCAAGAATAAATAATTTTTTATTTAACTTATTGTTATTGTAAAGTATGAATTTTTTTTTTCTTAAAGTTTATGGTTTTCTTGGAAAATCTTTCTACAAGATGTGTGTGAACATGCATTTAGTGACGTAGTTGAATTTTTTTTCCAAGTTCACATGAAATCCCACAACAAAGATGCTAAGCAGGAGAAAATTGAATAATTTATCTAAAGTTAAAGGTGAAATTGAATGTGATCAATGATTGTATAAAGGATGTGACCATCACATAAATACTGATTCTTTCTCGGTAACAAGAATACGAATATTCCCATTAATTGGATTCTTCCAATGTCGTTTTGATGTTAATCTTTCGTAACCAAAAATGTAAAAAATGTGTCTAATTAACTGATTAAATGTTATTTAATCACAATTTATTATAATTATATATATATATATATATATATTCCATTTTAAAAATTATCAAAATACTAACTAATAATAAATTACAGTCTAAAATTATCTTACATTATTGACATACTTTTATTAAATTCATAATAAAAAAACACAATAAATTAATTATTAGATATTTTATATTTAGACATAAAAAAATTCATATCAGTAGAAATATGTGTATGATGTCTGTCTCTGTAGTTTTTCTTATAATACTTTATTTTAATAATTAAAAATTAATATTACGTTAATTTTAACTTTATATTTAAAATTGTATATATATTATTTAAAATAAACTGATAATCAAATGAGTATATTATCTAATAATTTATAATGATTATTTTAAATGAAATGGGTTATTACTTAAGTGACTACTAATTTATATTTTTATTGAATAAATAATTACTTTATTTGATAAAAATGATTGAATGATTATTTTAAGTACAATGATAGTTAATTTATATTTTTAGAAATAATCATTTTTTTTATAAAAAGTAATATATTTTTATAAAAGACGATAAAAATATAATTTAAAAAATGTATTTATATAATGGTATAAATAGTTGAAATAATTTGTTTTTTCGTTTGAAAATTAATCGATGTAGTAAGTATAAGTTAAACAGATATTATATTTATTTTCACTATTATTTATATTAATTTAATTTTATTATTTTAAAAAATTAGATAAGAAATTAAATACGATTAAAATATTTAATAAAAATAATAATATGTCGTAGATATCATTATGTTTATTAATATGAAAAAAAATCTATCTATATACATGTATTAATATGGTTTACATATTATATATAAAATATTATATCGATATAGATATGTCATAAAATCAGTGTGTATGGTAAATAGTTACAAAATAATAATAATAATAATAATAATTTATTTAAAAAACAAAACAAATTAACGTTAAGAATATTAATAAGATTAGATTACAAATATTAAAAAAAATAGGGTTAAGTATTTGTAGTCCTGTATTTTAATGTGAAATGTGAAATTTGAAATAGTCATTTTGTCAAAGTTCACATAAAAATAATCCTTAAATTGTAAATAGTCATTTTGTCAAAATTCACATAAAAATTATCTTTAAATTGGAAATAATTTTTTTGTCAAAGTTCACGTAAAAATGATCCCTATATTTTTGAAATGATTGGAATAAATTCTTATTATAAACAATATTAAATATATGGTGATTTGTCTAACGAGAGATAATATGACTTATTCATTATTTAACACGTGTAATTATTAAAAAAATAAATAAAGCTCTTTTAAAAAAAAATAGAAATTAATCAATAGATATTATTATTAAAAAAAATTAAAAAAGTATAAGTTTTTCTTTTATCATCACGGACCAAAGCTCTTCAGTTCTCATCACAACCACTTCTTATTCTCTCTTATTTTCTCGTCATAGTTACTTTTCGTTCTCTCTTCTTTTTTCGTCACACACCAAAGTTTTTTTTTTTCTTCTCCTTTCTCAGTAAAGGTTGATGAAGTCATAGTGACTTTGAAGTTCAAGGGTTCCATCAGTTCGTTGTGGTTCGATCGACAATGCAACGGTGGTACACAATGATAATGTGTGACAGTGGTATACCATAGCTAGGGTTTTCATTTTAAAAAATTAAGATAAAAATGTTTAAATGACTTATAAATGACAGTTTAAATTTCTTTTTAAATGGTTTTTAAATGATTTTTAAATGTTATAAATGCATATTTAAATGATTTTTAAAAGTTTGACACCTTTTAATTTTATTTAATTTTATTATTTTTAATAATTACACGTTTCAAATAATGAATGAATCATACCATTTCTTTTAAACGAGTCGTATATATTTAACTCCGTTTAAAATACAGATCTATTTCAATTATTTCAAAAATATACCGATATTTTTACGTGAATTATTACACTATTCTCACAGCTTAAAAACATACTTGACCCTACAAAGTATTTATTCATAATTATAATATATAAGATAAATAATTGATATAAAAAACTAATAATAAAATGTTAGCAAAATAATTGCACAATATGCAGAGGGGAATGAAGTAAGAGAGGCATGCATGTGCCACCTTGCTTTTCTAATGCCATTTGGCTTCCAACTGAGAATCTGCAGAGAACACAGTTCTGCTCTCATAATCTTCCTTTAATGCATTGGAAAGCATTCACTGCTATAAAGTTTTGGATATCTGTGTTTTTTTCATTTCCTTTACTACAGACAACACCAAAAAAGGGATAAATTTTAAGGATATCCATACTTCAATATCCAATAATATATAAAATCATGAAATCAAAACACTAGGTTAATTTTTATATATTCATTTTCATCTACCTTCTTTGCAATTTGATAAAATATTATATTCATGTTAATTTTGCTTTCAGAAGTAAATTTGATTTGTTTATTAAATAACTGATGCTTTTAAAAGTTATTATATTTAAAACTATTTGTTTTCACTTTACATGGTGCTGTCCATTTATGTAGATATGTTAGTTTAAAACATAATATTTGAAATTTATTAAATAAATAAACTCCAAATATCTAAATAAAAATATTATAAATATCTCTTCAATTTTTTTTTCTACAAATTACCAGTATAATAGATTAGTGGTGATGTTTTCATATTTAAATAAAATAATAAAATGAGTTAAGTTTAATAAATCAATAAATTAATTAGTAGTCTTATCTCGCGTCCTAAAAATAAAAAATAAGAAAAATTAAACTGATCTATTAGACTATTTAATATATATATATATATATATATATATATTAAAATAAAATATAAAAATATTATAATTAAAAATATAATATTTTTTTATTATGTTATTAAAATATATAAATATATTATAATTTATATTTTTTTATAAAATATCTATTAAAAAATTATATAAATAAATATTAGCGAGTTAATTTACTTATCTATTAACCAACCCTTTAAATGGGTGACTTGAATGTATAATTTGTCTGAAACAACTTATCCATCAAAATAAAGGATAACCAACTTCATATAACAGGAAAAGTGAAACAATAGATTTGGAAATTAGTTAGATTGTAATAATAACTTCTTCTTTTTCCCTTTGAATTTAAACATATAAATTTTGAATTGATTCAACTGATTTTCCTTTCACGACACTGTGAATATTGGTCCACTATTTGTGTATAAAATTTGATTGACTTGAAAAAAGAAAATCGATATTTATCTAAAGAAAACTTTTAGTAGGTTATTTATCTATTTTGCTTTTATTAGCATACAAGTATTGTTCTTATGTAGGATAGTTAGTTTGTCATTTTTAAGGATATGTTTATTGCAAATTTGCAATATAAATATCGTGACTAAAAGTGATTATAGATACAACTGTGTATCTAATTCAATTAGTTTAATGTTTAATTAATTTAATTTGGTAATGTAATGGACTTCTAAAATCAATGACCTTACTTTGCCTATTTAATATAATTATTTTAGTTTGTTTTTAAGACTGAAAAGTAATATGTACATTTTTTTCACCTATAAAATCTAAATGATTAATTTAACTTATATTATAATACAAAAGTTGGACCATATACCCAATTAACCCAAGAGATACAAATTTATCCATATCTTTATATTTATTATTATTAATTGTCCATCTCTTTAACTTACTTTTTTTTTGTTATCTCTAACATTATATAACAATTTAAGTTATTCTTCTAAAATATATTTTATGTACTTCAATATTCTTATTCATATTTATTTTAATATGATTTTTATAAAAAATTATTTATTTATTATATATGTAATTATATATAAAGTAATGCACAGATCAAAATAGATAAACAAGAAAATGATACTACGTCAAGTCCCACGGGTATCTAATTAAGAAATACATATTATATTATATATTGTTAGTTTTTTTCTTTTTTCTAATTATCTAAAGCATATATTAGTATTAATTATTTGTTCTTATTTTTAATTTATCACATAGTCTACTAATAAGACACCTAATTATTTTTTTATGCGACGGTATATTTGCTGACTTATTATCATTAAAAATCACCCTTATTATTCTGAAAAATTAGTTCTTAAATTACAAATAATAATAATTTTCCTCGAGTTAAGGGTAACAAGTAATTTGTATTATTTATTTATTTTTAAAATAGAAATAGTATGATTGTTTTAGTGAAAAAACATTGTTTTAATTTATCATTAAATGTGTTCAACAAATAAATAATAAAATGATACGTTTTGTCTTTAAATATTATTATTTCGGTACATGTCTTAAAACCAATAAAAAAAAATGGTGGCACAATTTTAATAAAAAAAGGGGCACATTTTTGTACACAATTCTAAACTATCTCTATAATTAATTAAGTTAATTAATAATTAAACAAGTACTGGACAACCTCTAATAATTTTGTTTGGTGCCCTCCTAAAAAAAACTCGTTAAGATAACAAGCATAATGTTTTGTATACTAATAACAAACCAAAGAACATGAAGGATAAATTATGTTCAATTGATAAAATTTTCATTTTGATAAAACTTTTTTAAAATTTTAATTAATTAATTTTATAAAATATGAAAATAATAAAAATATTGTTTTAACTAAATTAAAAACAAAATTATTTTATTTATAGTTACTTTTCTTTAAAAAAATTAAATAACGATACAAAATAATATTTGAACAATGCTCTTATGTTATTCAGCAATATTATCATATTACATTTGACGCAATGTATATTTATATTACATTTTGTAGCCCTTAAATTTAAGTTTTTAGTTTTTCTTAATAACTAATTTTGAAGAAGGCTTTTTAAAAAATATTAAATACTTAAATATTTTCTTAAATAAATAAGTAAATGAGATATAAATTAAAAAATATTTAATTCTTATCCAAATTAGTAAATTTTGGGATGCATTCTGACACGTGACATGGACAAGTTTCTAAATTGACAAATGAGTTAATTAATTAATTTTGATTTGTGTCAGAAAAACCATCTTAAAAAAATTAATAAAAAGCGCCAATATGGGTGATATTATAATTAGGTGAAAACATAAGGAATCGAAGAACAGGTCTACTTCCAAACTACACGTTATTTACTGTATTACCCTTAACATCGACACGCGTTTTCCTAGTAGCCACGCGCTGCGCGTAACTTCCCTCCCACACGCTGGAAATGCCAGTTTGGCCTCCATCCACGTCACCAACGTGGGCCCGATCCACACTGTCAAACCCTAAATGCACAACACATTCACCTCAAATGCACATCAAACTCAAATCCAAATCAAAACACGGGTCTCTTCCCATCGACCGGTTCAGAACGCAACACGTGGTAGAATCAAGAAATCACCACCCTCCGTGCCAGATCTTGCGGTCAGGTTTTGGGACAGCCGAGAAAACGACGCCATCCGTGCGATCATGAATCAAGAACAAATCGACGGCAGATAGAGCTTCCCGAAGCACCCACGGGCAGATCTGATTGCCTTTAAGAAGCGGCTCTAGCCCCTTTCATTCCTCGCACAGATTAGGGTAACCCAAGCTTCAAACCCTAAACGCTACGTCTCAACTTTTCCGGCTTTCTCTTTTAAATCGGCGTCCCTGCCGGCGGCGCGTGGGAGTTTCCAACGGCTTGTGAAGGTTTCGTTCGCACGTGCTTCCCAGTTCATCGCTGACCTATGCTTTGTTCGACCCGCATTGGAGAGTTCGCGCCGGAGGGACGGTGGATTCTCACCGGACGGCCGTGATTTCGCACCTCTATGGCTTCCTCCGTCCTTGCTAACCGGAACGAACCTAATTGGCCACAGCATAGAGGCGGTGGAGCTGGATTCATGGGAAAAGTACCTTTCTCTAACCCTAACCCTAATTCTAATCCTAAATTAGCGAATAGCAAGAGGACCCAATCGGCGTCCGACGATGCTTCCTCTATCAACAGGCGATCGAACGACGCCGCAGTAAGTCACTCTCAATACGTCTGCTTCAGCATCTCTTCGTGCTCGAAGAAAGAGCTCAACGACATCAAGAATCGCCTTGTGTCGGAGCTTGAGCAGGTTCGCAAGTGCAGAAATCGAATCGAGTCTGGCGAGTTACATCCTGGACAGAGTTCCAACGGCCACCCGAAGAAACCGTCTAGCAAAAAGGTTTCAGGCAACAAGCGACCCTTACCCTTGAATTCTGTCAAGGAATTGAAACGGTCGCATTCGGAAGTTGGGAACATGATGAAGGGTTGCTCGCAGATTTTGCAGAAGCTGATGAAACACAAACATGGGTGGATCTTCAATGTTCCGGTTGATGTTGTAGGAATGGGTCTCCACGATTACTACGATATAATTAAGCAACCCATGGATCTGGGTACTGTGAAGTCGAATCTCTCTAAGAATGCGTACGCAACGCCTTCGGATTTCGCCTCTGATGTGAGATTAACTTTCAACAATGCTCTGACTTATAACCCTAAGGGTCACGATGTGTACAACATGGCGGAGCAGCTTCTTGCGAGGTTTGAAGAGCTGTACCGGCCGTTGCGCGACAAATCTGAAGGTTGGATCAGACAAGATCAAGATTACGACGAGGAATTGCAGGCTAGTTCCTGGAGCCATGTTGAGCCGGAGAGGGTGAAGAAGAAGGAGAATCCGATCCCTCCTGCGAAATTGCAACAAGAGCCTCCGGCCCCCCCAGCAAGTTCATCAAACCCTCCATTGCTGCAGTCTCCTGTACGAACACCATCCCCAATGCGAGCCCCTCCTGTGAAGCCTTTGAAACAACCGAAGCCGAAGGCTAAGGATCCCAACAAGAGGGAGATGAGTCTAGAGGAGAAACACAAGTTGGGGTTAGGATTGCAGAGTTTACCAGCAGAAAAAATGGAGCAGGTGGTTCAGATTATAAGGAGGAGGAACGGGCATTTGAAGCAGGATGGGGATGAGATCGAGTTAGATATTGAGGCTGTTGACACAGAGACCCTTTGGGAACTTGATCGGTTGGTGACTAATTATAAGAAGATGGTTAGCAAGATCAAGAGGCAGGCATTGATGGGTAACATTAACAACAACAATGTTCAGTCTAGCAAAGGGAATGGGGTAAATTCTCTACCAGTTCACTTTTGTATAATGGACTTGCGTTCTTGCCTAGCATTGACAGTAGAGTTGAACAATTGGCTAACTTTGTTGTTTTTTATATCATTTAATTGACAGGAATTGGCTGCTAGTGAGAAGGTTGATGGGGGACCAGTTGAGGTGAAGAAGCCAAAGAAAGTAGAAGCAGGTGATGAGGATATTGACATTGGAGACGAGATGCCAATGAGTATGTTCCCCCCCGTAGAGATTGAGAAGGATAAAGATGTTGGTGGAGGGCATGCAAGTAGTAGTTCTAGTAGCTCTGGCAGTTCAAGCAGTGATTCCTCATCGTCTAGTGGTATTCACCTGATCCCAGTATAGCCTTTGGTTTGCATTGAAACTATAACCGGAGAAAAAAGAAGAAGCTAATGTTTGATGATCGGTATTGCAGATTCGGATTCAGGGAGTTCCTCGGGGAGCGATTCTGAAGCAGACAATGGACATTTGTAGCAGTGCACCCAGTGGGATTTCGGAACTAATGGTCAAACTGATCATTTGGGGTATAGGCGTACGAAGAAAATGGTTGCTTTATTTGCTTCCTCTGATGGCGCTTGAATACATGGACGAGGTATGCAATGCCCATATCACTGTTCATTGTATTAATTTGCCGCCGTGGAATACAATGTTAAATTTGTGATTATACCTTTCGTTTCAGGGATTGTGACCGTTTGTATGTTGGTTGGTTCGTTTTGGGAGTAGTAGCACTTGGATTGTGGCGCTGACCACCTGCTCCAGGATTTGTGGTGTCATATTGTACAAATGATTTCGGAAACCCAAGTAATTGTGAAGACGATCTGTAGGCCAGAAAATAGGCTTAAATGTGGTGAAAATTCTAGGATAGAATCGTTAAAGATTAGGAATAGATCAGAGAATTAGTGTTTTTGAGTTTACCTCGTTAGTGTTTGAGTTTACCTTGTACACATTACAACAGTAAATAGATGGAACAACCTCCTTCGAAAAGGCTTTTTTTGAGTATTGAGCATATGAAATTTTGGGATCACTAAAAGTTGAAAGGATCATTCATTATTCATATTTTACGTGTCGTTACCAAGCACAAACTCCCAATTTATAACGACATGAAAATAAACACATTAAAACCAGTTTTCTGACAAAAATTGCTGGAATGATCAAACTATAAGCAGCAGCATGAGAAATCTAATAAGGTCACAAGTTGCCCAGAAACGAGAAACCTGGCGCCTAACAAAACTTGACGTACTGGATGAAATAAATTCGACACTCGCTGAAAAGTGGGCGAGGAATAAAATTTAAAATCGTGGAGATTATTTATTAAAACAACACAGCCACGCAAGAGACGAGAAAATTTTAAAACAAATGAAAAATGTCGTCAATATCTGTAATTAACAAAAACAAAGCCGAAGTCAAAATGATAAAAAGTAACAAGTTTTTAACAATTTTAATGTTGTGGCAAAAATTCTACAAACACTGTTCGTAGAAGTACCGTCAGGCACTGTGGCAGCAATTCTAAATCTTTGATGTTTAATTTTCCAACTTCTTCAAACTAATGAATTGTTGACCAAGTTGAGCCACAAGTGCAGCTTCAGTATCAGGTGCCAAAGCTTTAAGAAAATATTTGGTGAGGTTATGCTTAGACAAGATATCCAAGGCCTTGACACAGAACTTTTCTACCTCTGTCCGCCTAGCCGGTTTACTTGGAACATTAGTCGACAATTCTTTCATTAGATGAGAAAGTTTATCCAAACTGTTTTTAAGAATCTTTTTCGATGCATTCTGTTCATCACTATTCCCTGATGTCAGTGACTTCATTATTTCCATTACCAAATCAAGAGTCTCCACTCGTCGAAAGTCTGACTTGGCACTTCCACACCTCTCCAAAATAAAGCCAAATATAGCATGTCCGATCCATGGTCGTCTTCGAAATATTTCTTTTAAAAATCCAGATTTGATATGCGATTTCTTATTTTCAAAATACCCAACCAATACGTCACGGAAAATTTGAATAATCCTCTCCAATTCAGACCGAGTGAAATTTCTTGAATCAATAATTTTCAAAATCCAGAAGGTCGAGGTCTGAGCAAGAGAAGAAACCATTTTCTGTCTGTTCCAGGCGGCAGATTGTTTTGATGGATTAGATGCAGACTTCTGTCTTTTAAATGGTTTTGAAGCTAGTTTCAAACTTTTTTCCAACAGAGATTCAAGAGTAGATAAATGGACTCCATCACCCCTAGGATAATCCTTTGCTTTAAATATTTGCTTTTGTAAGATTCCCCATATACGTTGTCCAAGCTGCTCGCTAACTTCTGCTGTATGAGGGTTAACAAAAGCCTGAGCCAAATTTGAGTAAACCAGAAGAACCTGAGGCTTACCTGTATCATGAGCAATATACACAAGTAAAAGAATTTTCTTTAATAGCTCATCAAAAAATCACGTTAATAACACATTTTTAGTATTGAAATAAATCAGAAAGTACTCAACCTACACAAACCATGTCTGATGATCAATACTTATCATTCTTTTGGTTCCCAATTTACTTATGTAAAAGTGAATTTTCTACGCACGGCAATTTAAAACTGTTACCAAAATGTAAGTTTGTACTTTTTTTTAATCTTTTCTTATTACATACATGATGTTATACAATAGGAAAATAGCAGTGCTGAGAGAATAACGCTAACCTAAGAAGTGACGAATCATATAACCAATGTATACTTGCCTGGATTTTCATGAAGGAAAATTTCCAATAATGAAAGGACTCGAAGTTTGAACAATACAAGCTGGGAATGGGCTGTTTCACCACCTCCAGCTTGATTTTTTTTCTCTTTAAATATCTGAGCAAGATATGTATCAATCCGGAACATAGCATCATCGTCCATCCCACTATCAGAATCATCGGAAGCTTCAGAATGGCCATCAGCCTCTTCCACCTCAACTACTGATTCAGAGTCATCTGTCTGCCCATCACTCTCACCTGTTTCACCTGTCTCAGCTTGATCAATTTCTTCATCTTCAATATTGATAAAGTCATCATCTTCATCATGTTCATCATCTTCTGCACTTTCTAAACCCGGATGCCTTGCAGGTTTTAAATGTTTCTTAATCACCCGCAACATCCGCATCAGTCCATCATCAGTGATATCAACAGAAAAAAATTTAAATACCTGCAGATACAGCCGTTAGATAAATAGAAAGACAGTAGATAAGACATGACATCGGTAAAATATAAATTACAAGTACAGCCAAAGATAACTATGTCTTCTTAAACGACGTTGTCTTTCAATAAAGTACTTCAGCATATCCTACTATCACTGCACAATTGTCAATTAATCTCAAAACAAATCTACATCACTTGTCAAAACTCATACCCCAACCAAAATTGCATTCATTATAATAGTTAGCATATCCATATCATTCATTCAAGGTTTCAAGACAAGCAAATACCAAACAATGCTTAAGCACTGCAAAGGAATGTTCATTGCTCTTCTCCCCAAAAGAAACCTTCCTTTTTAATCAAAGTTGTTAGCGACAAAGCCATTTTGCTATAATCTCAATGAATCTCCTATAGTAACCCGCTGGAACTAAAACCCCTTGAATATCCTTAATAGATATTGGAGTAGGCCCCTCTAAAACTACTTACACCTTCTAAGGATCCTTCTACAAATCCTCTAGAAAGATGATATGGTCAAGGTAGTCAATTGAAGTGAGGTTGAAGGAACACTTCTTGCAATTTTCCCAAAAAGGAGATTTGATTAATATAATACGTCACCCAAATGAGTTATATGGGTTGGCCAATCTGAACTAAATATCAATATATCATAAAAAAAAAAAAAGAGACAAGCATAAAAAGGTGGAGAAGAGGCCTGAAAACAAAATTAATGGTGGATTGAAAAGTTGTTGGTGGCTTCACCAAACCAAAAGGCATCACAAGGTATTCTTAATGCCTCTCTCAAGGGGATGAAAAGTAGTTTTGGGAATGTTAGATTCCACCATGTGGATTTGATGAATCCCAGACTTCAAATTGATCTCTGAGAAGATTCAAGAACTATGAAGTTCGTCAATGAGTTCGTTAATGGTGGGGAATAAGATATTTGTCAAGCACTATGACCTAGTTAAGGGCCTGAAAGTCCACAAATTAAGAGTCGTCCTTCTTAACCAAAATAATTAAACTCGAGACTATTTGAGTGGTGGATAACACCCTCACCTAGGAGCTATTGGACTTGGTACTCAATTTCAAAATAAGATATGGATGTACACTAATTGGGAAACCTCTAAGCTAAGCAAAAAACAAGCTCACAAGCTATGAAATTGTGGGTAGTCATGCTATCCAGTAGAAGGATGAGACAACCAACTAACACCCCTTCCAATTTGATGGTGCACATCCGAGCAAAATAATCAGGGTCCAATGTGCCATAATCCAATGTTTAACAAAGCACGTCATCACTATGACTAGAAGTAGTACTATTGATTGAATTGTCAATGGCAATCTGGACAATGATGGGCCTTCACACTTGAAGCAAAGCCCACAATTGCAATTATCCATGAATTTTATGTAAAAGAGGTTACAATGTGAAGTGGATTCAAGTGACTTAAAATGGATTGGGGCACCTTAGCCCCAAGCCCATTAGAAGAGCCAATGTATTATGTTGGCCACCACCAGAGAAGGAAAGTAACAAAAAACTCAAACCAGGATTTACTATGTGAAAACGGTCCTTCTTACGTTCAATCAAGAAAGCCACAAAGATCATATGACGATAGTTGAGGGTTCAAAGGCAGGCACCTCAATACAAAAGTAGTTCCACAAACCACTTAAGAAAAAACCCATATATTGACCTTTTGAAAGAAGAACTTGAGCCATGATGACCTTAAAGGCCTCCACATATTCACTGACGGTGTTGGATTGTTGAAGGAGCTTGAGTTGAGTAAAGGGGTTACCCAGTTGTCTATCGTTGTAACAATCAAAAGAGCATGTTTCAAGGAGTCCCACCTAAGGTGGGAATCACCATTTGAGAGAACTTTAGACCAATGCCAAGTCATTCCTTCCATACTGATTTGAGCAAAGGGTATACGCAATTTTCGTTGGGCATTTGAAACAGAATAGTAGGTTTATGCCTTGGCCAAACACCCCATAGGTTCAATGCCTTCGAAGGAAGTTCCACATGTTTAAAATACAACACAACATCACCGTTTGTGCCAAAATGATAACTCGACATGAGAATGGGACTTGCATATCTCATCATGCATAGTGGCCTCGGACTTGTGTATCCCCAAGTGAGAGAAATTCACACTCCCCAATTCAATAATGAATTCTAGCCTCCTACAATTTGGACAACACTTCTTTATAATAGAAAACACCTGCACTAGCAACCTTGACAATTACCTCATTACCCTTAATAGTTTTTGGTCCACTTTGATACACCTTAAAGGGCTTATCTCCAATGGGGACCTGTTTCCTAACAGAGTAGGAGCTTAAAACATGACATTGCTCCATGAAATAGGTAGAACTAGAATTTGATGCAGGTTTCATACAGCCCATATCAAGATTTACTTGAATCTAGCTACATTTCAATTACATTAAACAAAACAAAATTAATTATTGATACATATCATTAGGAAAATTCATGACATCTTCAATTTGCATAAGGCCAGAAAGAAAAGATAAGACACATGTTAGAATGGTAACATCTGATTATGTTATGATTATAATTAAAATTTGAAGTAATTATTAGGTGTGTATAAATTTTGGAAAAGTTTGACCATATATTTTTCATTTTTAAATGAATATTAGAACATCTGAACTATCCTACTTGATGAACAATTGTGAAGTTGTAAAGAATAAATACCACATTTCTCATCATAACCTCTTCAATGAAGTTATAAAAGATAAACATATTTTTTCATCATAATCTTTTCAATTCAAGCTGTGAAAGTTAAGCACAATTTTTCATATTAACCTGTTCTATGGAAGATCGCATGGGAGCTGATGATTGTGGAAGCAGAGAAAGTAATGTATCCACAAGAACATCCATCAGTTCAGGAGCATCATCAACCTCATCGTCATCTCCAGAGGACTCAGGATGATCAGAAGCAGAAAAGGCCTTCTTACAACAAATAATGAGTTCAGATGCAGCTTCAGAGTACTCCCCTGGACAAAGAAGTACTTGCAGAAGCAGCTGGATAAGCATGTATCTCAGTGCATGCAGTCTATTAGCATCAGTGCTACAGTCATGACTCCTTTCCTGCTTAATAATATCACAAAATATAAAAAAGAAATAAAATAATAATAATAATAAATCATATAAAATAGTGCACACAATTCAACCAAAAACTATTTAATCGTACAAATACAGAAACGCACACAAAGACAGTACAACACACTTCCAGTCTTCCCCTCCCAATACTTTATAACTATAATATTAAATGGAATGGCATTGGCATTTGATATATTGAGAACCCAATGATAAATCAATACTTTCTTCATCTAAGAATAACAAGAAAATCAGACTATCAAACATAATGCATATGGAGGTCAAGATTATAAGAATTATACATGCAAATGCCACATAAAATTACCGCGATTTCCAAGGGTTAAGAACATCCACTTATTTTTCCTATTTCTGTTTTTGTTGATCAGGTACAACAATCTTTCATTCTCGCCACGTAAATTGCAAGGAACGTAGTACTGTTTTCTATCTTGCATATTCCTAACTTTTTGCACAAAGCACGACTAAGACATGTCCATGCACATAAATGGAAACAGTGAGCCCCCAATGTAGACTGGGATGGTAGGGAATCTTACACAAGGCAAGACAACAAAAACGTATACTATTCAACTTTCAGATGTCATGGAACCTTACACATAGGATAATATTCATTAGTACATTGAATTACCTAGCTCTCATCATAGTAAGGAAAAATTAGGACTATATTAACTTTTTGTCTATGCATCAATAGTAAGTCACCAGAATAATTACCTCTCTGGATAATCTTGCCTCCACTGCCTGCAAATTTTTAACTGCCTTTTGATCCACATCATCTAAAGACCGGAAGAGGGAAACTGAAGGAATGTTGCAAAAGGTGCCAAAGAATTTCATGAAGTATGAACCAAGATCATTTGGCTCAGTGCTATTAACCAAAGGACGAAGGTCCTCCCCTTTTTGAGCATTTGCCAATAACAATTGCAGCTGGTCTATACACATCTTGCAAAGAGAGTTCGATGTTGGGGATTTTGGCCACCTGAATTTTTCCTGTAACTCAAACGAAGTCACTTCAGAGCCAAGAGATGCAGTGAATAGACCCTGAACAGCCAGAAACTTCATGATTTCTTTCTGTACTCGAAACTTCTCTTCAAGATCTAGCTTTAAGAATTTTAAAATACTAGGAAGGGATTCAATAATCCAACTCTTCAAAAAGTCAGAATTCCCATTGGTTCTAGGAGAATCCTTATCCTCTATAGATCCTATTTCAGAATTTTCATCTGTGGTTTGACTCTGATCTGAAGGTTCTTCCTGGGTATTACCTTCATCCACAAACAGGTTCATTAAGTTCTGAATAAAAAGCATGCAACCAGGTTCAGTTTGGAACTGTGACATAAAATCTTTAACATGTTTTGTTCGTGTTAGGCGATCAAATTTTCCATTGCTGTGCTTCTGAATAGCCACTATAACTGCAACTCTTCTCACATCATCATCCCCAACCCAATCTGACAACTGTTTAAGAAAATGTTGTGCTACTTTATACAGCCATGTGTTCTTCATCGATAGTACATCTACCATGCACTGAACAACTTTGTTTGACAGAACAACTGGAACTAAAGATGCAGGTAGCTTTTGGAGAAGAAGAAACAGAACATCAAAAGCTAAGTGCTTACGGTCATGAGATGAGATGAGAAGAGAACCTTCAATAATTATTTCACAAAAAGACTGAAGATTCCTCGCAATCTCTTCATCAGAAGAACTAGATTTTCGATTCTTTTTGTGCTTCTTTAATGAATTTGAAGCTGCAGCTGCATCTTCTAATTGCAAAATAGTATTAGGTAAAAGAATATTTATCAAAACTGGCCAGACACTATGAACCCGTGGCTGACAAAATGTTGATTCCTGCCAAATTCAGAAAATACATAAGAATTTCTTTCAATACTTCATCCAAAACAGTGTTGACCACACATACGTGAATGCATATATTCTACCTTCAAGCAATTACTTAGGGAGGACAGGTGATCAGCAGAAAAAAACTGGCCAGAGCTGAATGGATTTGGCAGCAATTTGCCAAATAAGGAGCTGTCAATAGAAATCTTCTCCCTGACTTTTAAAGCAAGGAGCAAAGCATCAGGATTTCCTACTTCTGTAGCAGCTTCAAACCATTCATGTAGCCCAGGAGATTCAAGAATATGATTCACCACTGCTTCAACAGGCAACTACAATAATAAAATAATTGATAAGCAATAGGCTTGAAATAATAATAAGACCTAAGAAATTAAACACATAGCTTGTAGCAGAGTAAAGTGAGTCTCAAAATGGATTGCTGTCACAATAAGTCAAATAAAACACTATATAACAAATGGCCCATGACAGAATTTCAAAGTTACGCAGATGACTCTATCAGAAAATGATCTACTGGTTGCATAGAAACTTTCAACAATGCAAGTGGATGTTTGGGCTTGCCTATGAGGACGATGCAATTGTATACAAAAAATTTGTAGAATATCTTACCAAAAAAAATCCAAGAATCTGATATACAAAATGTACGAGCAATTTAGTCCAATATATCACCAAAATATGTTAAAAGACTAATTTCACATTATCACGACTACCTTACCAGGATACAAGCAATCACAGTTTAGTTTTAATGATATACAATAAGAAATCACAACAAGTTTAGTTTTAAGGATATACAAACCTGTTGAACCAACACCAAAATTATTGAAACGGCAGGTTCTTGCAAGTACCGCTTTTTATTTGCAGTAGATATAAGTGCAGTGATAAATTCTCTTATGTAAGGGGTGTTTTTATCTATATTCCACTCTTTTGCAAGTCTTCCTGATCGAACCAGAGCACCATAAGCAAATAAGCGCCCCAACAGACAATCTTTTGTTTCCTACAATTTCACAAGGAATATGCAAATATAGAACTTATAGTAAATGATCTAAAACAAAAATAACTTCCCAGTATCATTGTTTACCTGACCCTTCATTGATGAAGTTACTTCCAGCAAATTGATTACAAGTTTAAGGAATGATTCAACCTTAATGTTATGTATAGTGCCAGCTAAAACAGTTAAACCTAAAGCAAAGCCTTGTCGTGCGCACTGCAAAAGAAATAAAAAAAGATATATTAGCACGGCATATCCATGCATGCTTTCTTCATCTAAAAGCTTAAAAAACGTAGCCTCCTTCTTTTAAAAGCTTAAAAAACATAGCCTCCTTCATTTAAAAGCTTAAAAAACATGCCCTGCATCAAACCAATTTAACAGAACGTGTTTATCATGTAAAGGAGAAGAAAACATGACACAACCAGATACCAAATAAATCTCAAGAACCGCTAAAGATAACATTAAGCACTCGTTCGTATATTCAAACTAAAACACAACGCTAGTTCTAATGCTCCAAACAAATATCCAAAAAAGAAAAATATTACACAATAACACAAACCTCTCTAGACGAAGAAACACCGCGAATGAGCCTACGAACAGCGTATCTCACAGACGGAGCACAGTTATCCAATCCATCGTCTTTCTCCGCTTCCAACTTCAATCCACCCTCGTCATTCTCCTTCTCCTCCCGCTCATCGTATGCGTTCTGAACCGCCTTCAACTCCTTCACCATTTGTTTGGCGGCGGCTTCCCTCGCCGCCTCGGATGCCGCAGCGAGGTCCTTGAACACGCCAATGTGGAATCCCGGGAGACCGTCGCCACCTGTTCTAGACTCAGGTTTGGATTCCGTAGCTACAGGCTCGGGTTGGAGTGAGGTAAGGCGCCGCTCTTTGTCCAAGGCTTTGCGCTTCTTTTTCCTCTCCATTGGCTTGACTGAAGGTTGTTGCTGACCATCACCGGCCGCCGCAGTGTTCTTTGGTTTCTTGTTAAGCGGTTTGGTAGAATCGTCGGTGGCGAGGGTTTGCTCCTCGGGAACGGAGCTCCTCTTCTTACTGGTACTACCCATGGGTTTTGCGGCAGAAGACGGCGTCGTTCGGGGTTTAGGTTAAGGTTAGGGTCCGTTTCGCTTTTTGAACCTCTCACACTCTCCCTTCTCTGCCACCGCAATGAACACACTAATACTATTGTAATGTGTTCTCCATGTAATCTTATATCTACACACTCACTTAAAATAATAATTTATCAATTTTTTTCACCTACGATTATTTTTCTTTCTATAATTATTCGTCAATTTATACACCAAACTAATATAATTATTCGTCAAATTAAATTAAAAATAATAATATAATTTAGTTTATATCTAAATAAAATATATATTTAAAATAAAATAATTTATTTAATCTAATTTAAATTATTTTAAACTAAAATAAATATTTTAAAATTATAAATATATTTAATTAATTAGATCTTTTTTTAAACATTATAAAAATTAATATTTTTAATAATTAAATAATTTCAAAATTTTCATATTTAATAAATTACTAAAACAATTTATATATAATTAATTAATTTTAACATTAATTCAAAAGTTTGAAAATAATTAAAAATAATATTGATAAACTGTTTTTTAAATATAAGATTTTTTATGTGCAACGGTGTTTTATTTTTAACAAAAATTTAAAAAAAAATCATAAAATAAAAACATACTGATTTAATGACTAATCTTTTAAACCTTTCCATACTCAAATGGAGTTTAACTTTTTCTAAATTTAAGTTACAGTACGAATATTTTTTTCAAAAAGGTAAAAACAAAATTAGAATGTATTCAAACTTAAAATGTTCTTGAAAAAAAATAACACTTAAGTCAAAATACTTAAATTTTACTCTCTCTTTTTTATCATTGTTAATAATGGATTTGTACAGTTGATTTTAAGCCATTGTATGGATAGGGATCTATTCTTTAGGAAGAAACAGATAAGATAATATAGATCTAAAGATAAATTTTATCTTTGAATTAAATGTTTTGCATTGATTTTAAGAAAAAAGTTATTACAATTAAATTATTTTATAGGGAAAAGTTATATTGACAACAGCAAATCCTTAAACATCCTTCCAACAATTCTGCATCACCATTTTTCTTTTAAAATTAAATGATAAAAAATAGTTTTTTAATAAAAGATAATATAAAATAGATGCATGGATGTTTTGTTATTTGAGGTGTTTATCAATCACCACCTTATTTAATATTAATATTATTATCTCATTTACATACATGTAATTTTTTCCTTATGATTTGTAATCTTACACATAATTTTTTAGTCAATTATATATATATATATATATATATATATATATATAATAATTAATAAAATTAATAAAAATAAATAATTCACACCTTAACATATAAGTTACTTAAAATTAAAAAAAAATTATTTACAATTTTGAGAAAATTATTTATAGAAGTAATTCTAACTAATATCTAATAATATCTCCACAGAAATTTATTAATCATAATTTTTAGAAATATTTTATTATAGATTCTATATTCAATTATTTAAAATTGTAAAAAGTTATTTAATATATTTTTTTGTAATATCTTAAATTTATTGTAAAATATTTTTTTGGATATAATATATTTAATTATAATATTTTTAAATAATTTAAATATTTTTATTTTTTAAAGATATGAAAAACCTATTTTATCAAAAATTATTATAATATTTTTAAGTAATAGAATAAGATAAGGTGAGAAAAAAGTAAAACAAGAGAAAAAAAGGAAAAGACTAAAATATTAAATAAACAAAAGAAAAAAATAATTATCCTATAGAAAAATTTATTTCTCATTATTAAATTTTATATATAAATAATAAATAATCTCATTATTTTTTAGTAAAATATTTTAATAGTTTATTAAATTATTTCATTGATATTTTTATTATTATTTCAAATCAATCCACTTAATTATAAATTTTTCATCTCTTTCTTTATTCTATTTTTCGTTCTTTGATCTAAATATAAGTTAAACGAAAGAAAGTAAGTCAAAATTAAGGCCAGTTTGATTCAAGAAAAAAAAACGTAAAAGAAAATGTAATTTTGTGTTTGTTTAGGCTTTTTTGAAATATTTATTTAATTTATTATTATTTTTTGATTTAAAACTAACAAATAATGTTATACATTAATTTTCACGTAAATATTTACGTTTTTATTAATAATTATGTTAAATTTATCATTTTAATTATTAAAATAATTTATATGATTATATATATATATATATATATATATTTAAAACAATTTTTAAAGACATAATTATTAAACAAATATTTTAATTTATTTTAAAATAGTTCAAAATAATCTTAATTTTTTTAAACTACAAAATTAAACTAAAACAAATAAATCTTAAGTTTTGTTAGATACTATATTTACAAAAAAAATATACAATAACATTTTTGTCGATGGTTGCTTTCATATTTTTTTTATTATATATATATATATATAATTTATTTAACATTCCAATTTTAATCTATTTAAATTCAAATAACTAAAATTTGAAATTATAATTTTTAATTACATTATTTAAAAAGACAAAGTATGTTGATACGTATAAATTAAATATTCTTATTAATATAATTGAATAAATTAATAGTTTAATTTATAAAAGCAATATAATCGTATTTATCTAATTAAAAATCAGTTAAGGTTTAGAAAATATTTACAATTGAATATAATATATTTTTTAAACTAAGTGAAATCAGAATAAATCAAACCTGTTGAAGTAAGATTTCGAGAATATTTCGAAAAAATCAAAGTTGTTATAAAATATTATTTTTATTATTTAAAATATTACACTTATTTAAATTAATTTTATTTTAATTAACAGTTTGATTATTATTATTAAAATAGTTATTTTTATTATTATAATTCGATTATATTAAAATAATTAATCACGTTTAGTAATAGATTATTTTGGACGGTTACAATAAAATGTAAAATAAATAATTATATTTAATTGGATCAATTCCAATTTTAGGACTACTAATCATATCAGTACCCTTAATATTATGCATAGTCGATTATTCTATCTAATTGGATAACCATAACATAAGATAATCAGTTATGTAGTTATTTAACATAACAGATTATGATAGTTTATGCATAGATTTGTTAATGATAAACTAGTACACTATTTTCTGATTAATTATTTTAACTCTGTAAAAGTTTTAAAGATGATTTTGATTTACGTTTCTAAAACTTTGTGTTTAAGTCGATTTTGGTGTGGTCCTTCGTTTTTCTCTCTCCTGTCTATACATTTTTAGATGTGCTACTAATTACTTTTTAATGACTAATTAATATTAAAAAATATAATTGATATACAGGTGACGATAAAAATATTTTTTATATATAATTAAACAGTAAAATATCATCTTACAAATGATTATAAAAGTAAACAATGTTACTGTATATGTTAATCTCCGATTAATTGACACATATAAAAACATTCATATTCACATTTTTATACATTCATTTTAAATAAATTATAATCATATTAGATATATATATTTTTAAAATTATAATTTAATTTAATTTAAAATTCAGATATTGCAATTAACCGACGAGAATCGATTATCTATGCATTATAAGTCAACAAAAAATAATTATTGTTATATCAAACTCATAAAAAATAGATTACGTTGACACCAAAAATCGGTTATCTGTAATCATTCTTATTCAAAATCAATTATCTTAAAATTGATTATCTCCGCCTGAAATTGGATTATCTGTCACCAACCCACACACCACACACAAACTAACATCTTCAACATCTAGTTTTACTGTGCAAACTACTAATATATTCACTCTGAGGCACAACACTTACAAGTTAAACACACCAACAGACTCCTCTCACGGATTTTTAGTAGCTCATTAAAGAATTTAACTATCATTGTGCGACAAATCTTCAATATGAGTGCTTACATACGAGTGAACAAGAATCTCTATTCCTTACATAAAAACGTTTTGCTATGTCATACACAATTAGTTAACGTGAAAGATAACCACATAAATACACTTTAAGGTATATTTTATGAAGTATATTTCTCAATTCATCTCTTTATCAATCTTTATTGTTCTTCAATCTTTTATATATATCCACATGAACAATAAATTATAATAAATAAATAAAAAACAAAACTAAATGCTAATTTAACTAATTTCTATAATAAATATATGATTTTAATTCTATGAAAAATGAGTTATATATTTAATATTTTAATTTTATCAAATCTTTAAATGAAGTAATTTTCATCTATTACTAATGAAATCTTCAATTTCTAATAATAAAAAATATTGACATGTTAGTTACTTTTTGAAGTAAAATTTTAATAATAATATTTAATTATAAGCACTCTTATTTTTAAGCTGTACTTAATTATAAGCTTCAACGCGAAAAATATATTTAACATTTTTCAGGCAAAAATTTTTAATTCTAGAAAAATAAATATATTTTTGAAGCTTAAGAAGGATAAATTTGTACATGAACAAGACCTAAATGAATTTAAAAACCTATATTTGTTGACACAGTTTCACTTATGTAAATTATGAATGATTTAAGGTAGCCTTACAGTTTGTATTGACAATTAATAATATGAAAGCTGAGATGCTCGAGTATATGCGGAGTTTGACTAGGCAAAACTTTGAGTATCGTTATTCAAATAGTAGCATGACATAGTACTACATGTTGAAAAGGCCTCAAGGTAAAAAATGAACTCCGACCTTTAGTACAAAAATAAGTGACCTTATATGACCTGCTAAATGAAAAAAAGATCTCTAACTCGTGATCTAGAAAATTAAATCAGAAGGGTACACACACCACTTCCTGGCCTCACTTTTTGACCTCCTCATATTCCGCCTCCGGAGCCTGGTCCCCACCCTGAGAACCACCGGCTGAGGAACCACCACTAGAACCACCTGACATGTGCTCTCCAATCTTGCTTACAGCTTTGTTTGCAGCGTCAAGCTTTGACTTAATTTCATCAACATTATCCCCTGACATCGCCTTTCTCAAATCCGAAATTGCATCCTCAATTTCTTTGGCGACTTCGCTGGGAATCTTCTCTCTGTATTCACCTAAACTCTTCTCAATGCTGTAGATAGTAGTATCAGCACTATTTCTAATGTCAATGAGAGTCTTTCTCTCCTGGTCTTTCTGAGCATGCAACTCTGCTTCTTTGACCATCTTTTCAATCTCATCTTCCGAGAGTCCGCCAGATGACCGAATGGTGATTTGTTGTTCTTTCCCAGTAGATTTGTCTTTGGCAGAGACGGTAACAATTCCATTGGCATCAATGTCAAACGTAACCTCAATCTGAGGAAGACCTCTGGGAGCAGGTGGAATACCAACAAGGTCAAATTCTCCTAGCATTTTGTTGTCTGCAGCCATTTCCCGCTCACCTTGTAACACCTTGATACCTACCTGAGTTTGATTGTCAGCTGCCGTTGAAAACACCTGAAACAATGATACAAGTCAGAAAAGATTCAACTGCATAGCAATAATGCAGACTACTAAATCAAATAGCCTCTATTTTGACATTATACACAATACTTCATGGGGGTCTTCACTTACACATGATATGGATGATTTCAAATCTAAATTAGAAAGAGTTGTCTTAAGCGATCTTTAGCGGAATTATGGATTACCTGACTCTTCTTAGTGGGAATAGTAGTGTTGCGGTTGATCAACCTAGTAAAGATACCACCCAAGGTCTCAATGCCCAGAGAAAGTGGTGTTACGTCCAGGAGAAGTAGCTCTTTAACATCTCCACGTAGAATACCACCTTGGATTGCCGCCCCCATGGCAACTGCCTCATCAGGGTTTACTCCTTTACTGGGAGACTTTCCAAAGATATCTGAAACCACCTCTTGGACTTTAGGCACCCTAGTCATCCCTCCAACAAGAAGAACCTCATCAACGTCCTTGACAGAGATGTTAGCATCCTTCAAACAGCTTTTACATGGTGCCTTTGTCCTTTCGATCAAGTGATTTACCAAAGCCTCAAACTTAGATCTAGTTAATGTTATGTTCAAATGCTTCGCACCAGAAGTATCAGCAGTGATGAAAGGCAGGTTGATCTCAGTTTGAGATGTTGAAGACAGCTCTATCTTAGCTTTCTCAGCAGCTTCACGAAGCCTCTGCAGTGCAAGCCTGTCCTTTGAAAGGTCAATACTCTCGGTTCTTTTGAATTCGGTCACCAGAAAATCCAATAAAGCATTGTCAAAATCTTCTCCTCCCAAGAAAGTGTCACCATTTGTTGCTTTCACCTTCATATAGAGATATTTTCATAATAATTTTGACATAACACTTCTATGGACAGATTAAGAAGGGAAAAAGATGTAGAAGAAAAAAAAACAAGCATACCTCAAATACACCATTCGAAATTTCTAATATGGATACATCAAATGTTCCACCTCCAAGGTCAAAGACGGCAATGAGACCCTCCTTGTTGTTCATCCCATATGAAAGTGCAGCTGCAGTGGGTTCATTGATAATTCTCTGCACATCAAGACCTGCAATTCTACCAGCATCTTTTGTTGCCTGCCTCTGAGCATCATTGAAGTAAGCCGGTACAGTAATTACAGCCTTAGAAACTGACTTTCCAAGATAAGCTTCTGCAGTTTCCTTCATCTTGGTGAGAACAAATGCACCAATTTGGCTAGGGGAATACTGCTGCCCATTAGCCTCAACCCACGCATCACCATTTGGAGCCTTAACAATCTTAAATGGAACCATTTTCATCTCCTTTTGTGTTTGAGGATCATCAAAGCGTCTACCAATCAAACGTTTGGTACCAAAGAGAGTGTTTGTCGGGTTAGTTACAGCTTGACGCTTAGCTGGGGTACCAACAAGCAGCTCCCCTTTCTGGTTGAAAGCAACAACAGATGGTGTTGTTCGAGCACCCTCAGAATTTTCAATAACTTTGGGGTTCTGAAAAGATATATTCGGAGTCAAAACAAAAAACATATACACACGAACGAACAAACCAAAAACAATAACACATTAATGTTACCTTTCCTTCCATGACGGAAACACATGAATTGGTGGTACCTAAATCAATACCAATGACATCATTTCCAGCAGGCCTTGAACTGTAATGAAGATGAAAATCACAGTGAGTAATTTTGATCAACACCTAATGAAAAAGATTATTACAAAACCATAACAAATTGCACCTGAATGGTCTAGACAGACTAGACCACTTGTGAGCTACATATGCTGGCTTACTGTTTCCTGTCAACTGCACAACAATGAGAAAGTAAGAAAGTATTCCTCCAGTTGCCACACACTATTCAAAACACAACTCAAACTCGACAACAGCATAATAATAACAATAACCCCAGTACTTCTTTGAGTCCCCAGAATCCAAAAAAGAATTAAAAGAAAGGATGACGAGGTTTCAGAAAGATAGATGCACGATAAAGCAATTATACAATTGCTAGAAAAGCGGGCAATGAATCATGACAAAAACAGATTAGAAGTGAAGTGATAAAAGCAGTATCATAGAGCAGCTACGAAGTCCACGTAAACACGGACGATCTTGTGCCAGTATAGCTGCTTTTATAGCCGGAATATAACTTTGGCATAGAAATCCCATTCATAACGCAGCTTCAAAAGCTTTAAATTCAAGGATCTGGTGCATAAGGATTGGCGAACTATATTTCTGTTATTATTTTTCCTCAAATATAGGTGAGTGTACAACAACACGTCAATATCCCACAACCAGGAAACACTAGATAAAGAAATTCAATAACGAAAATTAGAAATTTAAAATTCTGAACAATTTGTGCCAAAACCCGATCAAAATCAAGAAACAGATTGCTCAAAACAAAACAAAAGAACCAAAAATAAAAAGGCCTACACGGATCAAATCGGAAAAGCAAGGTAACATGGAACAACCCTCACAACAGGAAATGATAAAAATAAAGAAAATAAGGAAGCATGGACAAGGTGGAGGTGCTACCGAGCGATAGGCAGAGAAGGTGGCGGAGGCGACATCGCGACGGCGGAGAGAGCGGAGCACGGCGGCCATAGCCGGGAGGAGAAATTGATCAGAAGGGAAATGAAGAGAGGTGAAGGAGGTGAGATGGGCTTTTAAATCTCTGAGTAGAAGGGTTTAGGGTTTTGGTCCTTGTGTTGCGAAAGTAAAGAAAACGGTGTCGGTTCTTAATGATAGTGGCAGATTATTCTAGTTCTTTCTTCTACTTTGAATGAGAGAGAAACTCAGAGAAGGAAGATTCTAGATGATCACCCCAAACGGTGTCGCCACGCGTGTTTGGGGTATGTATGTGGCGCGTAGGAGTACCACGCACATAACTCAGACGTTAGTTGTTGGTACTTTTTCTTTTGACGGTGTCATAAATGTAAGGTAACGTAGTAATGAAATGAAGCCAATCAACTAACGTTAACTTAAAATTTAATATGTAGAGGTATTACCTTTTTAAAAACTTCTTTTATCGTTTAAAAAATAAAACTCGTACAAATTAGCTATGTTTTTAGTATTTTTGTTGTTCAAATAATTATAATTTAACGAAAACAAATATTGATGAAATGCAAGAATTTGATATTACTTGTGAAGTCCATTTAATAAAAAATTTGAAGTAATTGTTGAACCCAAAAAAAAATAATTGTTGGAATGTATATTACCAGATAAATTTAGAAAATGATATATTCTCTTTCTAATGTTTTTTCCCTTGTCTCACTTAAGATTAATCCTTTATTTTCATTACACCAGGTATTTGTTAGCTAAATTCAACATAGTCACCCCAAGAAAATCGATACAGGAATAATTGTTTGATTGTTTCTCATGAGAGAAATGGAAATTTACTGTGAAGAAAGTAATAAGCTTAGAAAAGAACAGAAGAATTACAGTCCCAGTCCCAGTCCCAGGGAAGCAACTTGACATGGTTCTCCCCGATATATCAGTGACAATTAATAATATCAGAAATTAAACAATGTGCCGCTAACCAAAAAAGAAAAGTACACTGTACAAGTTTGAAATGTAGCCACAAGAGAAAGTAATAGATCCACATATCCTTCTCCTGAAGGGAGGAAACCAATGAAAGAATAAGCAATATGGCTTGCCTTGATCTCAATCTCCATTTTACTCTACCAGAGAAGCTGTGCTTCATGAGAATTCCATTTAGGCTTCAGATACTTTTTACTGATAAGAATTGTCAGTTTATTACGTTTCCTATGTACGAGGTATTGTAAAGCGGCTGATCAAATTGCAAGCGACGCATTCTGACAAAACAGAAGTACTGATTGACCTAAATGTAGTTCATTCATAGAACAAAATACGCAATGCCATGGAACCATCAAATCCGAAGATATCCCCCTCTATCCTGATCTCCTATTCTTAATGACCTCCTGAGCAATGACTTCCTATTGTTCAGTGACCAGTTTCTTCCCAGAGCTCTCTTGTTTCGCCATGCAGCAGCTATACGGGTATAAAGGACCGGGAAAAGGAAGCAAAGTAGTACAAGAAATAACATTGCAACGCAGAGTAACATGACATTGCGAAAACCATATTTTAGCTCTGGGGCATTTTGACCTGTCCATGGAACTCCTCCGACATTCATGCCAAAGACTGCAATCAGAGTTCAAAAATCAGAATCAAACCAAACCAGTTTTGAATAGCCAGTGGATATGGATGTTAAAAAGTTCATCACAGTGCTTAGAAAGAGTTGACCACTGCGGGGAGTGCTTATGAAGTTAAAGTGACACACCAGGAAACATCAGTGCAAATTTTTATAACCTGTTTGTTTTCATGTTTAGATTTTCCGTCAAAGGCAAAATGGACGTGGTTTTTTATTAAAACTGACGTGAATCCAAACATGTAATTTGTCGTGGATCATGATTGTGTGTACTTCTATAAACAAGTGAAAATTAGTGACATGTAACGGTAAAAGAGAAAAGTTGCTTAAAATGTCAGCTTGTAAGGCGGTGAGTATTATCTCCCCTTATTAACTCTAATCAATATGAGACTTGGGTTTTTTCCAATACACTCTCTCACGTCCAACACTACTGGGTTTGGTACATGGATAACATGGTGAGAGGTCATTTTGATGGATCTAGGATAGATTTTTATACCATCTTAATATAAGTCTAACTCAATCTTACAAAACCAACTTGTCTAGTGAAGATTTTGTCTTCACTTATATGCTGTATTTTGAACACTATCTCTACTCAATACGATGGGTTTTTCACAATTCTGTAAAAGGTAAGAAACAAAAAGGTATTGGGTTGAATATGCTCTAACCTCCTGTTATGATCGACAAAGGGAGGAATATTATTGAAAGGAAGGAGAGATAATACAGCTTCCTGTTTATTTGCTCTGACTGCCAGCTGTCTAGACTGGCTTGAATTGCTGTGACACGATTCACTATAAACCCTACATTCTCCTTCATCCTCCTTAGCCTTCCAATTAGTTCTTCAAGGGAGCTAAGGTCATCACTGCCAAACCATCTTTTTGAAGAACATTTTTCTTTGACTCGGAGATATACTTGCTCTCCATGGGCAATCACCTGAATAGAATTTAATTAATACAAAACCAAAAGGAAGTTTAGTCCATACAAACAAAAATTGATTTGATAAATATTACAACATGTTAGATGGAAACAGTCATGTCATTCCAATCAAGGTGACAGTTCTCATTACTGTAATTTATAAATGTATGTAGACAATATTTTCTTTCCTTTTCCCCTCTAACACAATAAAGCAGAATCATTTTCTAGTAGCAATTATGTTTACATAAAGCCTTCTTATTTTTCTTATTGAAAGTAAATTTGAGCAAGTTGTTAGAATTATGACAAAAGGAAACTGGACACCCTATTTTCCTGATTGCATAATGAAACACGTAAATATCCTTTTATACTCTCTCCCAGATTTATCTGCATTTGTGAATTAAAAAGACACCCTTATTCAATCTTGATGCCATTGAATATACTAAGATGATGAAATCAACAACCCTTATGCCTTGATCACAAAACTACAATGTTTATTTATTCATGATTCACTAATAGAATGAGCTTAAATAAGATTTATTTAAACTACGGCTTCATGCCTTTTGATCAGAAGCAATGAACAGATGAGTACAGTATCACCTGCAAAAGACGCTGTAAATTAATATGCAGTTTGGGGAATCTTCTGTCATCTAGCATTTGTTTCTTCAGAGCATAACCACCTACAATGAGTAGAACCATTGATCCTTAATTCTATAAAACCATTTCAAAAATCGCACATCAAGGAAGTAGTCAAGAAGAAACTTGCACAAAACATGTTGGAAGTAGAAATTTCAGTTTACTTATAAACCAGCTATACAAGGAAATACTCCCCTATTTTCGCTTTTTGGCCAGGGTACTGTGGTTTAAAAAATTAACAACTGAATATCCATCCAAAACAATGACGTCCTGCCAAACACTACGCTCTAAAAGGTATTCAAGTGGCCTCCTCATTGCATAATAATGGGTAAACATTTAAAGGTACAAATCATTTGCCAAGCATATGATGACCTCAAACACAAGGATGCATGTGCAAGGGTGGCAATGCCATATTTTAGAGACAAAATATATTAAGTGTTCCTTGAAATGTACGGACATACCCTCCTAATGAAAATGTATTGACCGTAGGAACAAGAGAAAATTTGAATATGATTTGCTAGAGACGGCATGTTGTGTTATTTCTTATAGAATTTATTCTATGTGCAGGTGCTCAAGTTTCAGATCTTTTCTCAAGAGGAATGTTAGCAGCATACTATTGGACATTTTGACACACTCTTTTCAATACACTGCTATTGAATAAAATATAAGTGCCCCCGCCCCCCTAATCCATATCTAGTACAACATGGATTCACCCAGAAATAAAAATTGTTATTTACATTTCTCTTTTCCTGATAAATACAATAATCCATTGAGATCAATGCAATAATAAACAAGCCAACAATGCAAAGACTAGTTGTACACCATATAACATATTTCCAAGGACAATACAGTATTAAGATACTGGATACAGAAATCATTTAATTCAGTTAACAGACATGGAAGAAATAACCAGAAAGAGGCTTTGGTGTAACGCTTTTAGTTGGCTATTTGGGTCTTTTTCATCTCTTCTCATCCACAAGAAAAAAATATAACAACTAATATGTCTTGTCTTTTTCAACGTCTACAAACTAACACAGATTTGTAGAAAGTTAAAAACTGAGACATACTTTCCAGCCTGAATTTGTAATTGGAACCATGAAGAGTACTGAAAGTTGAGAACCAATAAGGACGTGAGGATAGAGGATTGTATCATGGAAATTACCTTTATCCAAGTCCAGCTCCACAGAGTCCAATTCCATCTCAATCTTAGTCACAAGATCTTGAAGCTGATCTACATGTGTGTCAATTATGTGAACTACAAGATTTGAGGCAGATCTGGGCACAGGATTGTCAGCTTCCTCAGAGTGATTCATAGTCAATAAGAAATCAAGAACATGCTCCTTGATCACTGTCCCACTTCTTTCCTCCTGCTGACCTCTTAAAGAAGAGGAATTTTCAAGACTAGGAATCTCTGAAAGAAGTGATTCACCCACGCGTGAGAAGCCTAACCTGGGAACCCGTCCCAAGGACACTGTAACTACTGAATGTTCTGTAACTCTAGCAGCAATCCTAAATGTGAAGTCACTGGAGGGAGGACCAGGAGAATTAACCCGGAAGACAAGTACCCCATCTACATGTGCACAAAAGGGTCCATTGCTAACAAGTGAAAGAATGTCTTGGAGTTTCAAAGGCGGGCAGAAAACACCAATCAGGTCTTGTGCAGATTGGGACAACTTCTGATTTCCTTTCGGTAATTCGACATGGTACCAAGAAAACTCCTTCCCTCGGCCTTCCCCTAACCCTCCTTCCTTCTCTTCTTTTTGGAAAAGGTCTGCTAGATCCCAATCCTTGTGATAAAAGTTCCCCATGCCATCAAATATATAAGCTCTCTTTCTCACCAACCCTGCAGGATTGCAAGGGTAGACTCGCCCCTCCCTTAGGGGTACCCGTGCAGAAGTTTCACCATCTATCACCTCAGGTAACCCATTCTCCATAACTCTATGCTCAGCTAGTTCCATAAACTTTCTGCAGCTACCCCAAAATAGCCTCCCAACTAATGAACAAAATGATAAGTACAAAACAACTTGATACAGAACCCCAATTTTATCTCATAAACTTTAAAACAACCTACAAGCAATGAATGCACTATTATTCACAATCTCAAAACCAAAGTCAACAAATCCACCGCAATCCAATTAAATGATCCAAATCCAAATTGACTGAAAGTAAGGTACACCTAGAATTGAACCCAAACATCCAACAACCCCCAATAGGTAGGTTCACAATAATCTTCTAACAAAAGCCACCAAGCTCACAACGAACCAAACCCTGAACCAAAGTTGTAATCTTTCAGATTCTACTCAACTCAACAAAGTAACACAACCAATTAAAACAAAACTTAAGAAGAAATGCATTACCTCGTTGAATGGCCAGATTGTGAAACTAACGAATGAATTCCAAAAACCTCAAACGTTGAAATTGGCAAAAGCGACAGCGACAGAGTATTGAAAAGTTCAAAGGGCAAGATGATTTTATTTTTCCCCTTTTGTTGGCAATGAGAGAAAGGGGATTTAAGAACAATAAACTAATTAACAGGTACCAGAATATGAATTGTAATGAAGAATAGTTGAGGTTCTTGGAAACTTCCCCCTCACAATAAAATCCAATTCTTATCTGTCGCTAGTAGCAGTTATGAACTCCCCAGATTTGCATTTCATTTTAAAATTGAAAAATTATGCACGTCGCAACATTAGTGTTTATATCTTATAGTAGAATAATACTAAATATTAATTTATGCATGTTCGCCTAACGCCAATAGACACACTCAGTGTCTCATCCCGTATTTAGAAAGTCTTTTATTTGGTTGACCTCAAGAAACTCTTTTAGAAATTTAAATAAACAAGTATTTTTAGTAACATGTTTTTCCACTTTCCGAAATTTAATTACACATTTAATTATACTTTTCAATTAACTAATTTGTTCCATAATTAATATATATACACATATATGTTAACGTTTTAATAAAATTGATTATTAATATCTTATATTAATAAGTGATTGACATGTTGTAACCTAAACACACTTTTTTTTTATTTTACTAAATTTTGTAATTAGATATGTTACGATAATAAATAATTTACATTGATACAAATGGTGGGTTTTACCTTCTCTCGGTCCGTCCTGAATTTTTTAACTATTTTTATCTATGTTCTCATTTTCATTCTTTATTAGGGTTAAAAAATAAAATTCTTATTTTTATTAGATTTCGAGTTTCTAGGTCTTCGACCAACTCCTCTTATGCAATATTTTTAAAAGAACAAATATATTTATTAAAAAATAATTTAAATATTTATTTTATTTATAATTTTTAATTATTATTATCAATTAAGTATATATTGAATTTATAATATTTATATATAAAATATATATATATATATAATAAATTTTTAAGTATTTGTTTACACGGATACTGAATACTTATTATTATTATTGCTCTCTTATACATTATTTTTTAAAAATAATTATACTTATAAAAATTAATTTAAATATTTTTTTATATATAAATAAATATTTATAGTTATTATTATTAATACTAATAATTAAGTTTATATTTTAATTTATATATTTATATTAGAATATATATGCATAATAAATATTTAATATTTTTTATATAGATATTAAATACTTATATTATTATTATATTATTATTAGATATATAAGTTAATCAATTTTTAAAATTTTCATTTACAAATATTTATAAATATAAAATATATAAATTATAAGAAAATATTTAATAAATTAATTATTATTTAATTAGTTTGAAATAATAAAAATTTCAATCATTGTTTTTTTTTATCTTTCAAAATACAAATATTTTATTAAGATAAAATTTGATATATGACAATAAAAATAATTAAATATAAAAAATATGAAATAATAAAATTTAATAAAGATAAATTGGAAATAAAATAATATAATTGACATAAAATATTAAAAAAAATAAAGAAGATGAAAAATGAAATTTGTAATTGTCTAATTTGTTAACAAAATTGAAAAAATCAAATTCATACCAGAGATTAAGAAAAAATGGAAAAAAAATGTTAGAAAAAAGAAAAAAAAAATATATATATATATATAATATGAAGTGATTGGTTGAAAAAGATAAAAAAAAGTTACAAATTTGTAAAAAAAATTTGGTAAAATATAAAAAATAATCTTGTATATAATGTAAAAAAAAAACTTTAAAATATTAATATTTTTTATTTAAATTTAAATATAAATTGGGTAAGGACGAGACCATAGCGAATATGGAGATTACATTATTCATCATCGTCTTGGTCATGACTTTTTAAAGCAGGAAAAACTTAAACTTGTCTTAACTCTAGTCAACTTAATTTTTTCTTGTCAAACTTGAGTCGAGGACCAATCAATCCCAGTATATATGAATTTAATTATTGTCTCTAACGTTAACGTAAACTGACAAAGGGGGCTTGTTTACTAGAAAAATAGGTTAGATTCAACGAGGTTAGTCTATCTAAAATTGGGGAAAAAGTTAATAGTTTTAGTATTAATTTATTTTAACCTATTTTATCTAGTTTGTCAACCCAATGCACTAAAGATGAATTAGGGTGAGTTAATCCATTGACCCATTTTTTTCTAAATTATATATTAACATAAATAAATTAAAATTAAAAAATATGACATTTTTATTTTATTTTATTAAAATATATAGTTACTATAATATTATAATTTAAATAATAAATATTAACAAATTAAAATTAAATTATTAATTATAATTAAGTATTTTAACATATCAATATTTTTTTTAATTTACCTAATAAAAATATTAATTAATAAAATAACTTTAAAAAATTTATATAATTGAAAATGTATTTTAAAAAAATACATATACAAATTATTATATACAAAAATATTAGTAAGTTGATCACTAACTTGCTAACCCATTTTTTGACCCAAGCAATTTAGAGTTTATAACTCGTTTTGACTATGGTAGGTGAATTTATTTCTCACTCATTTTTTTTATAGACTAGAGATAGAAAAAATTAAAATTAGACATACTAACCCGTTTTATTATCTTATTATAATATATAGATACAAAATAATTTTTGTCAACCATTATATTATAATAAATTTAATAATTTAAAATAAATAAATATAATTTTACATAAAATAAACGTGTTAAGGTTTCAACATAAAATCAATTGGCAATATTGTGGAGTAGCCTAAGACCAGGCAAAGGGTACTTTTGACCCATGACAATAACGGGAAAGATGTTAGGCTTTGACTCTGATACCATGTTAAGGTTCCAACATAAAATCAATTGATAATATGTGGAGTAGCCTAATATGTATTTAAACCATACCAAATGATATGAGGTAGGCGATGTGGGACTTTCAATTCAACAAAACGTATACACCAAAATTATTAAAATATATTATTAATTATTAAATTGTTATATATTATATTAATAGACATAATACTTATTGTTGTGGTAAAGTTAGTTTGTTTATAACATATTAGTTATGATATTTTTACAATATAATTGTTAAATTTAATAGGAAAATATATTTTTAAAGACCTATAACTTTATATATATATATATATATATATATATATATATATATATATAATCTGTATATCTTAAAAATCATTAATTTTGTAAATTCAAATTGCAAACACTATTGCTACACAAATGCCGAATTGGTGGGCTAATGCAAGCCTCGACCATAAATTGGGCTGATGGAAAAAATGCTGAGCCTATTTGGGCCTTCCCACTGTCTAGTAGTCTTTTTATGGGCCGCGTACCAAGTTCCAAGGGTTGGTAATAATGGTGTATTATATTTATATATAAATAACCAATAAAAAAAAAAAATTCTGTAATGACATGGTAAAAAAATTTTATGTAGTGTTTTTTTTTTTTTTTTTCAAAAGAACAGTATACACACATTGCATTGGTATACATTATTTCAACTTGGAAACTTTTTTTTTTAATATTTTGTTGTTATTGTTTGTACATAATATTTTTAAAAGATATTTTTAGTTATTGTTTGCCAATTATATTATACATAATTCAATTGATAGGTTTTATAGTTTTCTACATCCATATAAATTGTGTACATTTAATGATACGAGATGTTGTAACAACAGGTAAATTTTAAATACCCAAATCCTATATATTTATATAAAAAAAAAATCACAGTGTAAATTTGATAAGAAAGGACCAAATTCTGAAAATGAGGTAGAAATTTGCACAATAGATTTTTAATAACAGTTAACAAAGATTTTTTTGTTTCTTGTTTTTTCTTTATCTGTATTAAAAAAAAACTTTATAAAATTTATATCCAAATATAATGGGTAAAAAAGTAGTGGGATTTACCATTGTGTGGAAAAAATATATTTCCATTCCGTTCTTTATCTCATATTGTTTATTGGTTATAATTATCCCAAAACTATTATACCGTGTATATATATAAAATTAAAATTAAAATTTATACAGTAATTTAAAATATAAATTCTTTTTCATAAACAAATATATACATTCATATTTATTATCTCAAAAATAAATAAAATATAAATTTATATTATTCACACTTTCATCCATATTCTTAGATCTATCACCTATAAAATATGTTTTATTGTAAATACATGATTATGACATCTAAAAAAACAACATATAAACGCTCACAAAATAAATTAGTAATTCAATATTTAAGTATACAAAAATAAGATGTGAGATAAAATAACATAATTCAATTTTAAGTTTTTATATATCACATTACACGTCCGTACAAACTCATATTTACATCATTCAGACACGGGACAACTTCTAAAATATTATATATTAAAATAGACATCAGAAATTTACACTATCACACCATAATTCCTCCAATACTATAAGGGTGTTCAATTAAGCATATACAATTTCGTGTGACCAAGGTAAATTTTTAAATGACTTATAAATACATAGTTATGTTTGACACCGCATGCTAAGTTATTAGAAATTTATTTCAACTCTCATTATCTGATATTTCATTTATGTGATTTTAGTGATTAATAACCAATTGTTGGAAAAACAACAACAACAACAATAATAATAATAATAATAATAATAATAATAATAATAATAATCTTGATTTTGATTCTAACGATCAAATATAAACATAATATCATAATGATAAACATGCTCGTAAACTGAATGCGAAAACGTACCTGAATTAGTCATAACAATGATGTCTTTGTAGAGCACTATATTGATCTTATGGTCTCTACACAATTTTATTTTTCATGACATATGTCTTTAGCCAAAACTTTAATTTAGTCAGATCACTTTATTATTTGGCTTAATAAATAATGACCCTAACACATTTAAATTATATATCATATATATACATGACCAAAATTTTGCCAACATATCATATAACTAACTTGTTAATATATCTCTTTGAGTTCGAAGTCAATATCTATACATACAAAACTACTATCAATAATTCTCATATCACAACATAACAATCTTCAAAACACATAATAATATTCAACACACCTTATTTAATGTTCATAACATATATTTTAATAGCTTAATATACACATTATTTTTCACATTATAACAAAATATATATTTTTTACAATTTCTACCTATTCTTTTGATCATAAAATTTTATGTAGACCTTTATACAAAATTTTATTTTATTGGAATTCTTACTTATGAGGCTTTGATTTGCATATATGCAACATTAAAATTAGAGTTAAGAACTATTTTTTATGAATTTTTTGAAAACCGCTTAGCAAATTTGAAAGCGTTTGACGAATTTGAAAGTGCTAAGTGAATTTTAAATATATTTAGCAAAATTTTGATAAAATAAAACCTCAAATACTATTCAAAATCTGCTGGATGAATATGAAAACACGGAGCAAATTTCAAGCGCTCTCAACATTATTTTTAAATTGTTAGGTAGATTCGTGAAGTAGTAGACTATATAATATGCTTAATACTCGTTTCTAATATTCCAAATCAAAATAATTTTAAATTTTACCCTCCGTATTGTAAATCAATTCACTAAATTAAATTTAAAAACAATACATCCAAACAAAAAACTATATTTTTTAATCTAATATAAAACAATTATATATTTATATTTAATACAATCAACACCAACATAATCACACAACCCAAATTATTGAAACTCAAACAATATGACAAAGTCACATTTATAATCGAGATCTTTTAGCCTAAAATACTATAAAAATTAAAAAATAATTAACTTTATTTACCTCAATATAGTGTCTCAAAGTTAAAAAACCCCAAAAATCCCAAATTTTTTAGGAAGATAGACCATGTTCACACAAAAACTCAAATTAACAAATTAAACATATCACAATACTCTAAAACTAGTTAAAATTCATTTTTTTTACAATAAAATCTATATGCAAGTCCCCCAAAACCCACATGTAGACCTAAACCCATAATATGCAAAAATAATATAAAATTAGGTAAGGAGAAACTTATTCTATTCAAATTTCGATAAGATATAAATGATCTACTCTCTTTAAAAACACTAAGGTATGCTTGAATCTAAAAAAAATAAGTGATCAAAGGAAAATTTTTAAAAGAAGATAAAGAAAAAAATTATAAAAAAATAATGATTTTTTGAGAATAAAATTTAAATTTACAAACTTTTATATTTATAATCGTTTTTAACTTAATTTAATTTATTCTCATTGTATTACTTTTACACTTAAGTTCCTCACATATATCCAAAAGTCATTCTCCCATTTATGAAATATTGATAGAGCAAAATTAAATTATTGAACATATTTGTTTATTTTTCAAAAACAAAAATTGAATATATAAATGGATTTTTATAAATTCATTTATGGATAAAATAAAATAAAAACAGTTGTTTAACAACTATTTAAATCGCAATTATGACTATATACAGAAAAAAAAGGAAAACAAAAATCAAGCAGTTTTAGTAACACGTAATATTGATATTTTTTTTTCTCCAAATAGTCAATTAACATTATAAAAAATATTTTTAAAAAATTAAACAACTACGATGAAAACGTTGTGGGTATGTTTGGATCTATGACGGAAGGTGAAGCGGGGAAGATTTGTTGCCAAAGTTATTTTTTCAATATAAGAAATTGTGTGATTCTCAAAAAAACTTCTTCCAATGGTTGAAGAGAAGAAATGTGTGGAAATAGTGAATTATGTTATATATGATATATAAATAATATTAATATTAATAATTAGTTTAATAATACAATTTATAATAATTATAATTATAAAAGTAATTTAAATAATTATATTATTTAATTACAATAATAAATATATAAATAATAATAATTATTATATTAATAACAATATTATTTATAATAATAATAATAAAATAATAATCATATTAAGAATTAAAATAAAAATAAGGAAAATAATTATAATATTTTAAATTATATTAATAATTATAACATTATTCACAAACTTTCATATTTTTTTCTTTTTATTTTTAACTAATTTTTCTTTAATTTAAACAACCTCAATTTTATTCTTCTTTTCCTATATAAATCTTCTCATTTCCACTCACTCGAACCCATACTATAATTCAAAGTCTATCGTTTTCATGGAAAAAATAAGTACTCATTAATTAAAATCCAATCGTAATGGTTCTTACAAGTTGACTGAGTGGACTCTCATGTTAATTAAAATGTGAACTATCCTCGTTTTTCTCCATGGATAGACAGCGGAAAAACGACCTTTCACAAAGTTTTCGCGCCCATGTATTTGAAAAATATACACTTTTAATTAAAATTCTTTTTAAATTATCAAGTAAACAAACCCTCAAAATTTAAAAATAAAATTGATGAATGTTTTGTTGAAATTATAAATACCAATTGTTTATAAAACAATGTTAAAAATTAGTATTTGGTTTAAAAAAAATGAAAATATTATATTAATCACTTATAATATTTATATATATATATATATATATATATATATAATTTGGGACAAATATTTATAATCAGGATAACAAAATTGGTCGTATGTAATCAAAATGGTTGGATAGATAGTGCATTCCATTTTATTTCATAATTCACCGATCCATAGAACTAAGATTTTAAGTTTTTTTTTAATTATCCTTATTTTATGCACTTAATCCGATAATTAATAATTATTTTGTTACTGATAGTTGCTTTGTTACTTTAAAATCACTGTACAATATTTTACTAACCTAATAATTGTGAATGGAGATTGAGTGTATTTTTTATATTTACAAACTTAAAAAATGGCATTATACCATATTAATTTAATAATATTTTTTTTTGTATAAGATATTTTATCTCGTTACCATAGTTTTTTATATATGTAAGATAACATTGTATTTTCTTAAATTAGGATAAAGTTTGAATTGGAAGATGGGAAATAATTAAGAAAACTGAATTACAAAAATATTGTCAAAAGTATTTTTTTATATATATTTTTGTTAAAGTGATATCATTATTCATATTTTGTAGCCTTATTGACTAGTGTCTTAAAATTATTATTAAGAAATTAATTGTTTTATCATAAAACACATAAAATGAATTAAAAATCACACTCAAGTTGTATATTATAATAAATAAAAAATTATCATTTTATTCCTTAATCAGTTTCCTTAGCATTCATTAGAGATCTAAAAAGTTGATTTTGACGGCATAATCAATTAAAACGGCTCATTGTGTAGACTAAGCAAGTGGTTCTGACGTGAAATATTTTCGTATGCAAACGCAAACCCAAGTGATATTTGCAACCCAAACCCCACTCACCAACTACAAATAATAATATAATAATAAATAAATATTATTTTACTAATATATTTGATTATAAGAAAAATATTTATGACAAAATCAATAGTTAATAAAACATTTTAGTAGTAAAATTATTTTTGCTTTGTAATATTATTTAACTGTAAATCATTATAATTTATGTATGGCATATAATAAGTTAAATTAAGTAAAATTTTAATACGTATTATATCTCCATATTTTTTATATCCATCACATATAATGATGTGTTTATGTTGTTAATTTTATAAATTGTTCATTAAAAGTTAGAACTGTTAATTTATACAGTTATATTTTAAAAAATCGATAAACTTAAGTAAATATTCTATTAACGAAAAAGTAATACGTAAAAATGAGTGGTGGATCTAAAGAATAATTTTTAAAAATTAAATAATGTATTATTTAATAAATAAAAAATGAAAAAAATATGAAATATTTTTTATTTAATAGTTTATTTTAATATTTATAAAAATAAATAAAAATGATAGTTAAATTAAGATAATAAATATTCAAATAAGCTACCTAATATTTAATTTTATGGATATATTCTACTTTACGTTTTTCTTGACTAAAACGAAGCCCGTGATAACCTCTGAGAAGCGACTCCTATGGAAAGAAACTTTTGGAGAAAGATAGTGTGAAGGAATCATGCATTTACATGTGCTCACTCACCGCCATATGTATACATACATATACCCACTTGCGATGATCTTAGCCAAAAAATATGATTTATTTATTTCGATGATAAAGGCCACAATAAAATCATGGTTTGAGTTTAAGTTTCTTAGATGACACAGTCCTTCAATTTCGAATATCATGAACATAGAAAGAGTATAAATTAAATCATCATTTATATGTAACAGATATTTTACTAGTAAACATAAAAATTGAATTTTTAATTACACACATTTAAAAAATATTGTTACTTATTAGCTTCGTACGAACAAAGTCTGAAATCAACTACCATAAGATTACAATAACCATTGGAAACAAAAACGAAGTGGAGGGACCAACCCCACCATGGTGGTTGGACCGTAGAAATCCAAATCTCTTTTCGTTTTATATATTTTCAAATCCAACGAAACAAAAACTCGCTAATAATTTTTTCAAACTCATCCAAAACCCACTCTCTCTAACCATGTCCTCTGTCTCTGACCCAGAGAAGCTGGTCATGGCCCAAGTAGAAGGCGAAGACGACGACGACGTTTCTCCAATCGAAGAGGTTCGTCTCACGGTCACAAACACCGACGATCCGACCCGACCCGTATGGACTTTCAGGATGTGGTTCCTGGGTCTTCTCTCCTGCTCCCTCCTCTCCTTCCTCAACCAGTTCTTTGCCTACCGTACGGAGCCTCTCATCATCACTCAAATCACCGTTCAGGTTGCTACTCTCCCTATTGGCCACTTCATGGCCGCAGTTCTACCTGAAACCAAGTTCACTCTACCCGGGTTCGGGTCCAAGTCATTCTCCCTCAACCCGGGTCCGTTTAACATGAAAGAGCACGTCCTCATAACGATATTCGCCAATGCTGGAAGCGCTTTCGGAAACGGGTCCCCCTACGCGGTTGGTATCGTTAACATTATCAAAGCCTTTTACGGACGCAACATCTCCTTTCTGGCTTCTTGGCTTCTCATCATTACTACACAGGTTAGTTTCACCACCCTTCTTCTTCATTCACCTACTAATTATTTTTTATTACTTTAATTATCTTAAACTATTATCTTATTATTATAAAATTATATATTAATTATCTAAGGATTCCTTCTCTCCTTTTTCATCATCACGATTGCTATTCTGACCGATGGACCTCAGCGGAATCATTTGGATTCGGAATTTGAATTTTTATACTTAAAATAATGAGTTAAAGTTTTCACGTGATGTTCACTTTTTAAGTTTTTTTTTTTTGTTCTATCTTTTGTTTAAAATATTGTTTTTAATCCATGGTACAAATTATAGCCGTTCAAATGAATACTAACAATTGAAAATTAAGTCGTTCTTTCAACTAATGATTATTTTGTTGATATTCTTTATTTTTGAGGTCGAATGTTTTATTGAAAATTCAGGATTATATAACGATTTTCTACATTCCTGTTTATAAGAGAATGATGTTATACTTCCGGAAAAAAGAGAAATTATTTGTTTTTAGTAACTATGTTATTAGTACATAGAAAATATTTTATCGGTTTTTGTAGATTGCTAAATTTGTGAACAGAGAATTTGACAAAACAAAATGATGGGCCTCTACAGGTGCTAGGATATGGATGGGCCGGACTACTGAGGAAGTACGTGGTGGAACCGGCCCATATGTGGTGGCCCAGCACCCTCGTCCAAGTTTCACTTTTCCGGTGCGTCAAACGCTTCCTTATTGCATATTCTTAAATTTTTTATAATTTTTACAAGCATGCTCCTTTTCCATAATTATATTTCTGTCTCATCCCATAGTACATCTCTTATAATCTTTTTTGTCAAATCAATTATTTAATAAAAAGAGGTTTTAAGTTTCTCAATTGTTTTAATAGTTTAATAATTATATCCTGTCAATGTTTTTTTTTTTACAATTACCATTAATGGAACTATTAAGGTAATTAATTATTATTAAAATCAATAAACTTTTCATTGGTTTGTGATGAGATGATAATGTAAAAATGATATTCTATTTTCTCTTATTTGAACTGTTGCTTACATTTTTTTTGTAGGTATATTAATTATTATTTTAAAATATAAATAAAATGTTATAAATGTCTGTGCCTTTTGTATTTATATAGTCTATTAGTAGTAAAAATAATTCTTTTAATACTTTTAATTATATTTCTTCACATTTCAATGAATTTTCACAAATGTCGGTATAATGATTCATAGTATACTTGCTGGTAGAATGTTTTGTAATGAGTTTTAAACAAAAGTGGGAGCTTGTTAAAACCTCTGTAATGTAAGGTTACCCAGTGTATTAACTATAGTTAATTGAATTTAGATCAAGTGCAGTTACAAAAGAGTTATTTGGATAAGGACAAAGAACAGTTTTTCATTATTTGTTTAGAAATAGCCAAATCTTCATTATTTATCCTAGAAGGCGTAAAGTGAGAGAAATACTTAAAGAAGACTTTGTATTTTTTTTTCAAATGAAGGCACTGTGTTCTGGGTTCTAACTGCAGCACATTGATTTTAAGAACTACCTCACAGTTGACTATGATAACGTTAATGTCAAGCATTTAATCTCAACTTTGTATTGCTTAAACGTGTGGTCCATGAACTGACCCCACAATTAAGCTTGGACAGCAATGCGGAAACGACTTACAAACTATGAATGAGACATGGAGAAAATGGCTACGGTGGACAATACAACAGCAGCATGTGATCCATCATGCTAATTTCGTAATCAATTTGAATTTTATCCTTTTCAAAGTCAAATAATTGACCCACTAACATTTAAAGGGTTTTTTTTTTTTTTTCTATCATCTTTGTTTTCATGACTTGGAATCTGATATATTGACCAACGATGCAAGAGTTTTTATTTTATCATCAGTATTTTACTTGACTTTGATTCTGATATATTGACAATGACAACTCATATAAGGGAAAAATTATTCTATTATCCGTACGATTTGGTTTTGCCAATTGCTACTAACATGCAATCAAAACTTACTAACTCTTTTATACGTGTTAGCTAATGTTTTGGCAGAATCACTTAGTCTTCGATCATAAAATTAATTTCTTCTTACATGGATATTTAGGATATGGTTTTGTAAACTTTATAGGATATGGTTTAATACATCAGTCTCGTACATTTTCAGCTTTATGAGCTGTGTTGTACTATTTTGAGGTAACGACATTAAAATGAACACCGGGAAATTAAAATGTAACAAGGGAATCATGTGTGAAGCAATAAAAGTTTCACATGCAACCACATATTATGCAGTCTATGTATTGATGTATTTCTGAACCGCTATTCTTACATAAATGAATTGTTGATATGCAGAGCATTGCATGAGAAAGATGACCAACGGCTTTCACGGGCAAAGTTTTTCTTTATTGCACTACTGTGCAGTTTTTCATGGTACGTGATGCCTGGTTACTTCTTCACAACGCTCACAAACATCTCATGGGTATGTTGGATATTCTCCAAGTCAGTTACAGCTCAGCAGATAGGGTCAGGCATGAGGGGCCTTGGAGTTGGAGCCCTCACACTTGACTGGGCTGCCGTGGCATCATTCTTGTTCAGCCCTCTTATCTCACCCTTCTTTGCCATTGTCAATGTTTTTGTGGGCTATGCAGCAATAGTCTATGTTGTGATTCCTATAGCATACTGGGGCCTCAATGTCTACAATGCCAATAGGTTTCCCATTTTCTCCTCACACTTGTTTACAGCCCAAGGTCAAAAGTACAACATATCTGCTATTGTAGACAACCATTTCGAGTTAAATGTTGCAGAGTATGAAAAGCAAGGTAGAATTCATCTTAGCGTGTTTTTCGCCCTCACTTATGGTTTTGGATTTGCCACCGTAGCATCCACCCTAACACATGTGGTCTGCTTCTATGGAAGGTAATGACGCTCAAATTATTTTGCTGTAATACTTAATTTCTTATTATATTAACTTAGTAAGATGATAGTAAAGAAGACTATTGTTATTGGCTTTGAAATTATGGAATAAAATGCAGTAGGATTTTTAAAATTCTATGTTGCTTTCGTTATAAAATATTTCACTTAACTTTAATGTATTCTATGCTTTTGCATGTTGTGCCAACTAATAAATGTGTAACATTTGAGCAATTATTCTCAGAAGTCTAGGGCAGACAATGTACTCATATAAGCGAGAGCTTTATACATTATATGCCTTGTAGGATAATTCCAAAAGTTGTGTTATATCAGGATAGAACAATGATTTTTTCCACAATTTTCTCAATGTTCATGTGCAATGTTTTAACATGTAATCCTAGAAAAAGCTGAAGTAGAAAATGAAACATTACCATAACAGTTTATACTTTTTAGACTATCAGCTATATCATTAAACAAAATATTTTATGTTGATGGATGACCAAATATGCAGGGAGATTATGGAGCGCTATCGTGCTTCTTCCAAAAGCAAAGAAGATATTCACACAAAATTGATGAAAAGATACAGAGACATACCTTCCTGGTGGTTTTATTTGTTGCTGGTTGTGACCCTTGTGGTTTCTCTCGCACTGTGCATCTTTCTAAACGACCAGGTTCAAATGCCCTGGTGGGGTCTTCTCTTTGCTGGAGCCCTAGCTTTCGGATTTACCCTCCCCATTAGCATAATCACTGCCACCACAAATCAGGTTATAGTCTGCAACTTTTGCTCTCCATTTGTTAGGAACCTAGAATTGAATAGAAAAAGAAAAGAAATATTTTTATTGAACAGAATGAAAATAACAGAAAATAGGAGAGCACTCTCTCCTCCAAGTTTCCCCTTCTCCTTTCACAAAGAGTTCATGTTCAATTTACAAAAATATGAACCCCTTCTTTTATCCTTCATACCCTATTTATATCTAAACAGCACATTAAACAACTAACTAATTCACTAGTATGCTAACTATCTTACTAATTTCTCCTTCACTTTATACCCTAACACCATGATAGCACCTAATAGTTGCGCTGAAATTTAACTTACCTGGAAAGACCACGGATGGTATAGAGCGAGCTCCTAGACGATTCATCGTAGGAATTCTAATGCTAACTATGCTAAAAGCTTAAGCTGTTAGATAAGCATATACGATATATTTTATTTCTAACATTTACCCACAAAATAATATGAATATCCGCATTTAAATCTGATATGAAAAGTTTTCCTATTATGAATGAGAGTTAGAAACTTCATATTTTCATTTGGACTGACAAAACTAGATAGAGATATTCTTGACTAGTGCTGTAATAAAGTGCTTTCTCAGTTGCATTTGTATGTAATCTTAGCTCGAGCTCTCCTTGGGGTTTTAATAGGTATGCTGTTCATGAGACCACAGAATCTCAAGTTTTAACTGCTACCCTTTTGCTATGTGTTCAGACACCAGGGTTGAATATTATCACTGAGTATGTCTTTGGTCTCATTTACCCGGGAAGACCAATAGCAAATGTATGCTTCAAAACCTATGGTTACATTAGCATGGCCCAGGCTGTCTCTTTCCTCGGTGATTTCAAACTTGGGCACTACATGAAAATCCCTCCAAGATCAATGTTCTTAGTTCAGGTATGTTCTTAAAGCGCATACACAAAAACAACTCTCCTTGTATGTACGCTTACAAAGATATTACATTTATTCTGTAGTTTCTGATGCATTCAATTTATTCACACATGTATGTATTTATGCGTAGTTCATAGGTACAATGCTCGCTGGAACCATCAACATTGGGGTAGCATGGTGGTTGCTGAATTCCATCAAGAACATATGTAATGATGATCTCCTTCGGCCAGACAGTCCCTGGACATGCCCTGGTGACCGTGTATTCTTTGATGCATCAGTTATTTGGGGTCTTGTAGGACCAAAGCGTATATTTGGTTCTCTAGGAAACTACAGTGCAATGAATTGGTTTTTCCTTGGAGGTGCATTAGGACCCATAATTGTTTGGCTGTTGCACAAAGCATTTCCAAAACAGTCATGGATTCCACTAATCAACCTCCCAGTTCTCCTGGGAGCAACTGGAGCGATGCCACCAGCAACACCATTGAACTACAATGCCTGGATTTTTGTTGGAACAATTTTCAACTTCTTTATCTTCCGTTACAGAAAGAAATGGTGGCAGAGGTACAACTATGTTCTGTCTGCAGCACTTGACAGTGGGGTTGCTTTCATGACCGTCTTACTCTACTTCTCACTTGGTTTGGAAAACAAGAGTCTAAATTGGTGGGGAAATGATGGTGAACATTGCCCACTCGCAGCTTGCCCCACAGCAAAGGGCGTAATCGTTGACGGTTGCCCTGCAAACTGGTGACAGAATTTATGTCTCTTAAATTAATAAGAGTCTATCAAGCGTGGTTACAGGAATAAAAAAATATTTTATTATGAATTTTAACCGTGAGTTGTTTAAAATTAAAAAAAATTAGTTAAAATTGAAAAAAAGTTACTGATACAAACAACTTTCACTGAATTTTAAACAACTCATGAGATTCAAAATATTTTTATTTATTTCTAAACAACTCTTGCTTAAAAAAAACTCAGTTTGATATGTCCTTAATGGTTTCATTACAATATCACGCCTGAAAAATACTTAGTTATAACATTGGCAAATTGTAAAAATAAAAGAACTATATTTTCAAGTAAAAATAGCTTGTGTTACATGTTTTATTTATAATACTTGTAAATCGAATATGGATGTCCTTTGTTCATAACGATTGTTCTTTATTACTTTGATTCTGATAAAAAAAATATTGTTCAACTATTATGTTTTTTAATATATTTTATATTTATATTTTTTAGTGTAATTAATATTAATTTTTATTATTTTTTTAAAATATTATTACTAATAAATTTATTATATAGTTATTATATTATAATAATTATTTTATTAAATTTGGTTGAATAATTATCATTTTAATTTAAAAAACATTGATATGGACAATTACTCAAGTAATATCTAATTATTTTCTTATATTCTTTTTTATTAATCCTCTTCATTTATTTTATTTTATTCAGAAATAAATAAAAATGTCTATGTAATTTTAGCTCTGTTTTGAGTTTTGGTTGCCAAGAATTGTTACTATTTTGATAATTGAGAGTATGTTTAATTTGTAAAAACAAAAAATAACTTTTGGAAGGAGAGTATGACAAAAAATTTAATTTTTTTAAGTCAATAAAATGGGTTGAATTTTTTTTTTTTCTGGAAGGAGTGTTGATCATAATAATAGTAATATTTATATTGGTCCAAAATTCTACATTAATCCTTATTTAATTCTCTTAAATAATAATTAATATAATAAAATGTATAAAAAAATATATTTAATCACTCAATTTTATTATGATAAAAGTTTTGTAATTAGATTATTTTATTTATATAATTACATGTGAATATTTCATATCTCTAATACTAATCAGAACTCAATTCAATAAATCTAAAGACAAGAGCGCTTTAAATCAATATATCTATACTTGTATTCTCTTATAATAAATAATAATATTATTAATAATTACATTTTACATCTTAAAATTAATTTTACAAGCAAAAAATCCAATTACTTAAAGAATATAGAATGAATGATTATAATATGAGTAGGGCACTACACCATTTTTTTTAGTTCGTTTTTTTTTTTAATGAAGCTTAGTTAAGTTTTTGAAACATAGTTGAGTTTTTTTATAATTTAATTTATTTCCATTAGGTATCAATTTTGTTTAATTTGATTTTTAACGCCCCTAATTATTATTAGTTTGAGCTCTGAGACAGATCTGAAAAAGTTATAATTACAAATTAATTTGTCACACGGTCATTTATCATAAATGAACGTATGTAATAAATTATTCTAAAAATTGTATCTATCATAATTTAAAGCTTGAAAATATACGTCGCTAAACGTATGTAATAAATTATTCTAAAAATTGTATCTATCCTAATTTAAAGCTTGAAATATACGTCGCTAATGAAAGATACATTAGGTTAAGAGGGCACAAAAATCCACCCAAATTCCACGAAATGCAAGTCCAATGACACAAATCTACCAAAAGCTGGCCTTATATGGTTATTGGCAATGTTTATAGACAAATTGATTTGTTGATTTTTTTTTTTCATGAATTGACTAGTTGACTTAAAATAGTATTATTTATGAATAGAAAGACTTTTTTCTTTTTCATTAAATAGACGTTTAATATTGATAAATAATTAAAAATATTTTAATTTTTAATCATATTAATTAATCTACTAATTTGGTGAAGATGTTTTATCTATAACATATTTCATGAATGATTCTTACAAATATTTTTATTTTATTTTAGTCATTCTTAATTTATTTATTTAATTAAATTTGTTTAATTTTTGACACGAATTTATTAATTAAGATTTATTTTTCTTTATATTTTTTACATCATAAATAATATTAAATATATATATATATATATATATTTTTTTTTTTCCTCTCTTCTTATATGTCTTCTTTGCAAGCAGATCCCGATAGAGCAACATCAAAGCAAATTGAATTCTTTTCGGATTTACTTGTTATGAACATACAAAACGTCTAAAGAGGGTAGAATATAAATATGAATAAAATAAGAATCCACCTTAGCATTTGCACGATAAAAAAAAGTTTTTAAGAATACAAAAAAAAAATTAACGAATGAAAAAGAAAAATTGATTTTTTTATTATATATTTGAATAATTTATTTTTTACATCAATTATAACCAATAATAAAAAATTGAATTTTTATTTCATCAACCAATCTTATAAATAATATATTTTTTAAAAATATTTAAATAATTTTTTTATTAAAGCTATTTATAATTTATACAAATTTTATAAAATAAAATTAGACCACATAACTTAATTATTCTTTTCTCTCCTTTGGTTCTCTCATCTCTCACATTGTTTATTATTCTAATTAAAAACATTAAATTAAAAATTAATAAAATAGATCTGTTATTATTTTTTTAAAAATAAAAATATTTAAAATATTCATAAATATTATAATTTAATATAATATATATATATATATATTTTTAAATTACATATAAATTTAAAATATTTTAAAAAATTAATATTTATTTTAAATTTTTTTAAGCTAATTATCATACCTTAATCTAATTATAACTAAATTAAATTATTAAATAAAAATAAAATTAACTCATAAATATTTGACATTTTTATTTAGATGAATGATTGATTTATTATGATAAATAATTAATTAATATTTTTTATTAAATTTAATGTAATGTTTTTAATTAGAAGAATAAGAGAAGAGGATAGAAAATAATAAATATATATTTTTAAATATTATTTAAAAGCTTGATTTAATAAGAAACAAGTGTCATGATATAAGTAAACATTTTTTTAAAACTTAAAAATAAATATTATTTACATTGAATCGTTAAAATATATATAGCAAATAGAATAAAAGGAAGATGGTAAGTGCCCTCAAACATCACTTTAGGAACACAATGGCATGTGATCATGATTATCAGATAAACTTTATTAATCAATTAAATAAAATATTAATAATAAATAAATAAAATATTTAATTATTTAATATATTTAATTATTTATTTTAATATTTATAAAAAATTAAATAAATCAAATTTATAAATAGAAATATATTTAATAATCACCGGAGTGAAATTTAAAAACATATAAGTTATAAAATTTTGGCTTCATGAAAAAAAATAAAAATCAACACTCTCCTTTTTATTATCATCTTCTAACCTCCATGTCTAACTGAACAAGAGCAGCATCATGCAAAACGGCAAAAAACCTCTAATCTCTAACACCACACCACAGCATGAGGTCTGACTCAGAGAACCCAATCACTAGCGAAGTGGACGAAGACGAGGTGTCTTCCATTGAGGAGGTTCGCCTCACGGTACCCAACACCGACGACCCGACCCAGCCTATATGGACCTTCCGTATGTGGTTCCTGGGTCTGCTCTCCTGCTCCATCCCCCCCTTCGTCATCCAGTCCTTTGCCTACCGTACGGAGTCTCTCATCATCACTCAAATCACCGTTCAGGTTGCTACTCTCCCTATTGGCCACTTTATGGCCGCAGTTCTACCCAAAACTAAGTTCACTCTTCCCGGGTTCGGGTCCAAGTCCTTCTCCTTTAACCCGGGCCCGTTTAACACGAAGGAGCATGTCCTTATCACCATATTCGCCAATGCCGGAAGCGCTTTCGGATCCGGGTCGCCCTATGCTGTTAGTATCGTAACCATTATCAAAGTCTTTTATCGACAAAGAATCTCCCTTTTTCCTGCTTGGCTTCTCATAGTTACTACACAGGTTTGTGATGCATCAAATTATATATATATATATATATATATATATAATATATATATATATATATATATATATATATATATATATATATATATATATATATATATGGAATAATTTTCTAATCTTAAAAATAGGAATTAAGAATTTTATTTTTCTAATATCATTAATTTATTTTTTAATGTAAATTTTCAGTGAATTTTTCTCACATATTTAAAATAAATATTTTAATTGTTAAATAAAAGAAAATAAAATGGAGTGATGCGTGTGCAGATGCTAGGTTACGGGTGGGCTGGGATACTGAGGAAGTACGTGGTTGAACCAGCCCATATGTGGTGGCCCAGCACCGTCTCCCAAGTCTCACTTTTCCGGTATGTCAATCAACATTATTTTAATAACAACTTTTTAAAGTGGTTTTGCTTGGCTTGGGTGATATCTGTTGACTCAATTACTTTCAATAAGATCCGGGTTAAAATTTTATAGATAAAAAAGAAAGGCATATATTCAGATAATTCCTTTATCATCATCCTCCGGAGGTCAAAATCCATAACAAATGTAAAGAGAAAGTGGAGTATGAAATTATTTTCTTACATCGTTTGATGTAAATAAAAATAAAATTAAATAAAAAGATGATTTTGTTAGATTCTTAAATGCAATAAAAAAATAGAGAATTTCTTTTATCAGACTCTAAAGAAAAATAAAAGAAAGTAATAATATGTATAAATTTCACCGTTTTTAGTTCTTATATTGTAGTTATTACAGATATATTTTTATTCTTTTTAATCCTTATGTGTAATTTTTTATTGTCTGAAGTCATTGATAGGAATGAAAATCAACTAAAAAACATATATTTATATATTAAAAATTAATTTTTAAGTACAATTTTAAAAATTAAAAAATTATATAATTACAAAAATTAAATAAATATTATTTGGTAAGATATTTAAACCCTGCCCTCTTTTTTTTTTTTTTTTTCTTTTTATCAAAGATATTTAGTGTTGTTTTTTTGACGCGTGCTCATCTTCTCATGCATTTATTCATTTTGTTTTCTAATACAAATATTTCAAACTATTTTTCAAACGTAAAAATTGGGCTTGACCAGCAAGATGGAAACGACTCCGCTATGGTCCACACAAGTCAACTGCATGTGACCCATGGACTTATTTTTTTCCACTTAAAAGTTCAATATAAATTCCACATTTTATTTTATTGATGTTTTGTTTATTTTCTATGGTTACTTCACTTGGATTTAGATACATTGAAGTAATTAAACAATAATATTTAAAGAGGGATTTAATTTTAGTAGAAGATTGAAATATTTTATAATAAAAATTACTGTTATTTAGAAAATTATAAAAAATTAGGGATTACAACTAATCAAATATTTGCTTAGTAAAAATCTCTAAAAATAAGAACTACAAACATATTTTGGTAGAAGGGGATTGATTTTTTTAAATATGATTAAATTGCAGACTAAGTATTAATCTTATATTTGAGATGTTAGAAAGTCATTAAATAGATTTAATAATTCATTATATCCCACTTTTCAATTAACAAAATCTAACATTTGAACCACTCCTGATAAAAGAAAAAAATCAGTAACCCATCAATTCAATCAGTGATACCACAAATGAAAAGAGTCACATGATGCAACCGCATTCTACTCAAACAACTGTGTATTGATTTGATGCTTTCATGATATAGTTACATGAAAGCCATTGTTGCCATGCAGAGCAATGCATGAGACAGATGATGACAGAGCAAGAACAAAGTTTTTCTTTTTTGCCCTATTGTGCAGTTTGTTGTGGTATTCGCTCCCTGGATACTTGTTCCAAACGCTCACAAACATCTCATGGGTGTGTTGGATATTCTCCAAGTCAGTTACAGCTCAGCAGATAGGGTCAGGCATGAGGGGCCTTGGAGTTGGAGCCCTCACACTTGACTGGGCTGCCGTGGCATCGTTGATCAGCCCTCTTAACTCACCCTTCTTTGCCATTGTCAATGTTTTTGTGGGCTATGCAGCAATAGTCTATGTTGTGATTCCTATAGCATACTGGGGACTCAATGTCTACAATGCCAATAGGTTTCCCATTTTCTCCTCACACTTGTTTACAGCCCAAGGTCAAAAGTACAACATATCTGCTATTGTAGACAACCATTTCGAGTTAAATGTTGCAGAGTATGAAAAGCAAGGTAGAATTCATCTTAGCCTGTTTTTCGTCCTCAGTTATGGCTTTGGATTCGCCGCCATAGCATCCACCCTCACACATGTCTTCTGCTTCTATGGAAGGTAATGACACTCAAATTATTTTGCCGTAATGCTTAATTTCTTATTATATTCTCGAGTAAGATGATAGTACAAAAGACTTATGTTATTGGCTTGTAAATTCTGGAATAAACATGCAGTAGAATGTTCTAAATTCTATATTGCTTTGATCTCAAAATTTTGTATGTAGTTTAATTAATGTATACTTTACGGTTGCGCAAACCTAACCTTTAACGTAGTCGAAAGTTTTACCCTAATATACTTTTATGTTAAATTAATAAACTAACGAGTGAATTTTGATCTGGTTAAATATTAATTTATCTATATCAAAATAATTAATTAAAAAAAAATAAAAAAATATTTTTTTTATTTAAATTATATTATTAAACTAATTTTTATTAAAGATATAATGATTTAATATATTTTTATAAAAATATATCTATTTAATATAAAAATAAAAATTAAAAACTTATTTTTTGTTATTATAATTTATTTTTTAATAATTTATTAATTAAAGATAATAATTAATCTTAATTATTAAATATTAAAATAAGTGATTGTTAAATATTTATTATAATATTTATTTTAAAAAAATTAATCATTTATTATATTAATTTATAATATATATATATATATTAATAAAATAATATTATTTTTAATTTTTATTTAAAAAATAATTATTTTTTTATGAAACGAGGTCGGCATATAAATTTAGGGTGGTCTAAGTTTATGTAGACATAATTTAAATAGATTGGACTAAAATATATTCATTTAATTTAGATTATAATTCTTTTAAAATAACTTGATTTTTTTTTTAATATTTTGGTAGATCATGGTTAAACTTTTTTTAAATCTCACCGTTATAAATTATTTACCATAATTCTAAAAGTTATGATAAAGCAGGGTATAACAATGACTTTTCCACAATTTTCTTGGAGTTCATATGCAATGTTACATGTAACGCCAGCTGAAGTAGAAAATGAAACATTATGACAACCGTTTATAGTTTTTAGACCATCAGCTATATCATCAAACAAAATATCATATTTTGATGGTAACCGTGTATATGCAGGGAGATTATGGAGCGCTATCGTGCTTCTTCCAAAAGGAAAGAAGATATTCACACAAAATTGATGAAAAGATACAAAGACATACCTTCCTGGTGGTTTTATTTGTTGCTGGTTGTGACCCTTGTTGTTTCTCTCGCACTGTGCGTCTTTGTAAACGACCAGGTTCAAATGCCCTGGTGGGGTCTTCTCTTTGCTGGAGCCCTAGCTTTCGGATTTACCCTCCCCATTAGCATAATCACTGCCACAACAAACCAGGTTAGAGTCTGCAACTTTTGCTCACCGTTATGTGATAGCACATGCATAGTTCTGCAGAATGGCATAGATCGAGCTCGTAGGCAATTCATCATAGGAGTTCTTAATTGAAAGTGTGAGTCACACATTATATCGAAATTAAAAAGTTGAATAATTTATAATAAAGAATAATCTAATGCCTTACAATTTTGGATAAAATGTAATATGATATTCTTTTGGATAGTTGATTCATTATTAATGGCTGAGAATCTTTCTATTTTTAGTCCTTCTGAAAATATTGAATACTGATATCAGAATTAGAATTACACTCGACAAATCAGATTATAAATTTTGGATTAAAAATGATATAAATTCTTAAACTTCTAATTTTTAATTTAATACTATCTCAATTTGTTAAAAGCTTATGCTTAAATATAAACATATTCAATATATTTTATTTCTAACATTTACCCACTAAATAATAAATATACTCATTTAAATAACATATTCAATATATTTTATTTCTAACATTTACCCACCAAATAATATATGAATATACTCATTTAAATCTGATGTGAAAAGTTTTCGTATTCAAGAAACTTCATATATTTTTAATGAGTAATGACAAAATTAGATAGTGATATTCTTAAATAGTAATAGTATATATAGGGATGGCAAAAATCCAGTGTAAAAATGGTGGGAGGGGTGGAATGGGTGGGTTAGGAGTTTTCTCTATCAATCTATTTTGATCCATTTCATCTAGTAAATTTTTTATATAAAAAAAATTATTTAGTAAATTTTATATATGAAAAAATTATTCACTTTATGGAGAAAAAAACAGGACCGACTAATCCATTTTATCCTCTAGTTCTGAAATGAAGTGGTTTCTCAGTTACATTTCTATTTAACTTTACTTTTAGACTAAAATTAAATGTTAGATTAAATATTTTAATTTAATATATAAATAATTAACAGTACAGTTAAAATTATTTGATATTTGTGACAAAGAAACAATAATATATATTACATGTGAATAAATATCTCATTAGATAAAAATAATAAAACTGAGTAATACGAGAACAAAAAAAAATCAAGCTAGTGCTCGATATTGTTAACCATCCCGCAAATAAAAATGATAGATTGACAATTCTTATCATACAAATATCTAAACAATAACTATTTTATAATAATAAAAGTTTATATTTATATGTTTATTAATAAAATAAGCTGTTAATTAGATGTTTAATATGAATAGTAGTGTTATATTCACCCGCGCAATAAGTATGCTGTCTATGGGACCACAGAATCTCAAGTTTTAACTATTGCCCCTTTTGCTATGTGTTCAGACACCAGGGTTGAATATTATCACTGAGTATGTCTTTGGTCTCATTTACCCGGGAAGACCAATAGCAAATGTATGCTTCAAAACCTATGGTTACATTAGCATGGCCCAGGCTGTCTCTTTCCTCGGTGATTTCAAACTTGGGCACTACATGAAAATCCCTCCAAGATCAATGTTCTTAGTTCAGGTATGTTCTTAAAGCGCACACACAAAAACAACTCTCCTTGTATGTACGCTTACAAAGATATTACATTTATTCTGTAGTTTCTGATGCATTCAATTTATTCACACATGTATGTATTTATGCGTAGTTCATAGGTACAATGCTCGCTGGAACCATCAACATTGGGGTAGCATGGTGGTTGCTGAATTCCATCAAGATATGTAATGATGATCTCCTTCCGCCAGACAGTCCCTGGACATGCCCAGTTGACCGTCTATTCTTTGATGCATCAGTTATTTGGGGTCTTGTAGGACCAAAGCGTATGTTTGGTTCTCTAGGAAACTACAGTGCAATGAATTGGTTTTTCCTTGGAGGTGCATTAGGACCCATAATTGTTTGGCTGTTGCACAAAGCATTTCCAAAACAGTCATGGATTCCACTAATCAACCTCCCAGTTCTCCTGGGAGCAACTGGAGCGATGCCACCAGCAACACCATTGAACTACAATGCCTGGATTTTTGTTGGAACAATTTTCAACTTCTTTATCTTCCGTTACAGAAAGAAATGGTGGCAGAGATACAACTATGTTCTGTCTCAAGCACTTGACAGTGGGGTTGCTTTTATGAACCTCTTCATCATCTTCTTATTCGATTTGGAAAACAAGAGCTTAAATTGGTGGGGAAATGATGGTGAACATTGCCCACTCGCATCTTGCCCCACAGCAAAGGGCGTAATCGTTAAAGGTTGCCCTGCAAACTATTGATACATTTTACGCCTCTTAATGGTTTCATTACAATAACACGCATGAAAAACACTTACTTATACCACTTGCAAGTACAAGTAAAAGAACTATAATTTCAAGTAAATAGCTAGTGTAACATGGTTTACAATACTTGTCATTGAATATGGATGTGCTTTCTTACTTTGATTAACTGTACACGAGAGAAAAATTCATGGTCATTTCACAAATCCCATTTAATTCAGTGTTATTATAGACAAAATGATTTACTTATCATAATATTTCATATCTTTGGCTTCAGTTTGATGAATTTTTATTGCCTAAAAACGCTCTTAATCTGGCCGAGGATATTTGTGTTTGGCAGAGCAACAAACTTGCACTAGTCAAAGGAAGAATTGCATTTTTACTTGCGTATAATTTAGGATAAGGTTGGACACAGGTTTTGTTGGGTCTAGCATAGGACTTCAATAAAAACAATTGACCGTGTCAATCAACTTGGGATCCTTCATCCTTCAATAAACTTCCATTTAATCCTGTTTTAACATATATATATATATATATATATATATAAACTTATATTAAATTCTTTATATTCTTAAAGTTGATTTGGGTGCAGAATAATCCTGTTTTAACATAGTTTTATATTTTTTTAAACTTATATTAAATTCTTTAAGCCTTTGTTTTCATCTATTTACTCTTAATGTAAAGATGAAAGAACTGATTTGTGAGAATTAATTATGTTTAGTTATTTGATTTTAAGTTGATTTGCATATAAAAATAGTGGGATTCACAATAAGAAAGTCACCTTCATTTGTGAAAAAAAGTCTGGAAAGACATGTATAACACATATAAGGTCACTTTTACCCTCACAATTATGCCGATCCATGTAACAGAATCGTCACATAATATATTGAATCCGATTTTTACATGAATATTTTTAAAAAATTTACATAATTTTTTTTACATTTATTATCAAACTATAAATAATTATATTGAGTTTATATTAATTTATTTTGATAAATTTTTATAAAAAATATATTAATTTTTTTAGTTAAAATTAATTTATCCTTAAAACAACTGTAAAAATGATCTTATATAAAATCTTATTTCTTAAAATTTTTAAATATAACATATAAAATTTAATAAATATAAAAGAATTTTGCGTAAATATTTAATCAATTTTATTATTTCATGAATTTTTTACGAATAATATAATTTAATAAAAACTATTAAAAAATATATGTTCAATAATTTATATCTTACTTTAATTAATAACATTTTTAATTAAACTATACTTTTAATTTATTATAAAAAACATATTAAAAATTTAATATAGTTTTTTTTCTTAATTATTATCTAATAAGAATATGTTAATTAATATAGTTTTTAAAATAATTTAATTTTAATATATCTATATATATATATATATATTTATATACTATTGAAAACATATAATTTATATAATTTTAAATAAATATTAAATTTAAAATTAACTTTTTAATTAGAACATTTTATTTTAAAAATAATTTTGAATAAAATATTAAGTATATAATAAAAAAAATAATTCATAAAAAGAAAAAATATATATTTATTTTAAAATAACATTATAAGAATAATTAACTTATTTATTATATTAATATTTATTTATAATTTATATATAAATTAACTTTTTTTATCTATTTTATTAAATATTTATTTCTATTAAATTATATCTATCTCAATTTAATTTATATTTTTTATAAAATTACACAAGAAATATTTTGACCTTTCATTATTTTATCTTATTAATTAATATTTTTTTAATCAATCAAATCAATTTTATTTTTTTATTAATTTTATACTATTATTTTTCTTCACTTTTTTTTCTTTATTTCAATCTAAACAGTTTTATTTTTTCCTTTGCTTCTTTCCTTCTCCACTCTCTTAAATTCCCTCTCAATACAACATAATATAAGATTTAGGTGAAAAACAATTGAGAAACATTTAAAATAACGTTGGACAATATCATTAAAAAGTTATTTGAAACCATCTAAAATAAGTTGTATAAACGTAATGTTTTACTAAAGTTACATCTAATCTAAACAATATTTTTATTTTATTATATATATTGAAAGGCAAAAATAATTAAGAAAAACTAACAAAAAAAGGTGAAAAAATAGCATTGGTATAATATGAACTGAATTTGTGTGTTATTGTATCAAATATCCTAAAATATCTTATTATATTCTATACATTTCTCATCAATTAAAAATAGTATTTAGGTTAAAGTGTAGTTATTAGCAACCTACAAAAATTTGTAAAACTTCATTGTTATATTAGGAGTGATATACTATGATTTTCTCTGTTTAAACGAAACTTATCCCCTTTTTCCGCCGAAACCAAAACTGATATAAATTTTATAAATATGAGAAAAAACATGGTGAGCAAAATTAGTAAAAAAAAATTATAAAAACGTTTACAAACAATATATAAAAAATAAGTAATAAAAAAAGAGAGAAAACATAATTAAACGATCTGCAAAAAGTAATTTAAAATAATAAGAAAGTTATATGAATGTATAAAACAAAAAAAAGGGTAGAAAAACAGTTAAATTAAACAGATATGCCATAAATATGCAAATAAATAAGGAAATTGATAAAGGTAATAGAAAATACTTCAATTATGATATTATAAACACAAATAAAATATTTTAAGTACATTTTTGATAAATGATCAAATAAGATGAAAAAATAATTCAATCTTAAATTGTAAACATATTATTACAGACAAACAAAATGCATAATAATTTGATTCGAACAAAATTTAAGAGAAAAATTGTGATAAATCCAAATTTAGTAGTATACATAATAATTATTTTTAATAAAAATTAAATGTTAAAAAGTGAATTTTTGATTGGAATAAGAAAAATAATGTATATAATTATTTTATTTATATTAAATAAAATATATTATTTAATTAAATTACATACGTAATATGTATATAATTATCTTAATTCAAACTATATTTATTTTCTAATTTTATTAATTTATTGTTTCATTTTTATCATTAAATTCACATAGTTAAATAAAAAATGAAAAAAAAACTAATATTAACAATTTAAAATAGAAGTGAAGGGGGTTAAATTTGTTGGGACTTTATTAAAATATTAAATTATTAACGTGGTACTCAGGAATGAACTTTCCACTCAGTGAGTAACAGCTGTGCACATCTTCAATAGTTAATTATTAATTTAATGCCTCCTGACTGAGATATTTTCTTCTCTCTCTAACACGTTGCAGTTTTTATGGTACTCCATGTCCTTCTGCTAACCAGACTCCTCTCAAGAGAATGCTGATGAGTGATTCCCTTCTAATCTCTGAATCATTCAAAATGAAGAACCCTTCGTTCGTTTTCTCCGCCGATCGCCGTGGTGCGTCGCCTCTCCCCGTATCCACACGGTTCTTTCCTTCTCTATTTGGCATTTTTAACTTACGCCTTTGCTCAGTGTGATGATTAGTTATGTGATCTAACATGGAGAACGACGAAGCCTGAGAATAGAAACGGATCTGCCAAGGTACGGTTCAAATTCATCTTCATTTATATGCATTTATTACGCTTCTTTTAAAGTTTATATGATTGTGCGAGTGATTCATTATCCAACATGTTTTTGCCCCCATTTTTTTTTTTTTTTTTAAGTTTTGAGGTAAATGTACTTGTTTCTGGCTTTTACTTTACTTATGACTTTACGAGAGATCGACATGGATTCTGTGGTAATGAACATTCCCTGCCTCGTTTTTGTCTTCCCCTAATTTATGCCGGTTGCAAGTAGCATATGGTGCAACGTTGTTTTTGTTTTAGTTGCTTTACCTTTTTTAGAATTAATTGATTTTCAATTTATTTATCTTACTCATATTAATGGCAATGTTTTTGATAAATAGATAATTAAAATATCTGATCTACCTAGGTTGGTAATGGCTCCGTATCGCTTGCCCGTAATAATTTATTATAATATTATTTATAATATGAATCCTTGGGAATAAACCATCAATTTTGTCTTTCAAATAATGCTCTCTTTCCTAAGTTGATTCAAAATAATGAAATTATTAAAGTAACATCTATAATAATGAATATTCATTAATTTAGTTCCTTAGTTGATGTATTTTACCAATGTTGAAGAACTACTTTTTCAATATTTAAGAGCTATTTAGTATGATTGCTAGTAATCATATGAATCTCATATAATTCTGGAGGGATGGTGGGAATACTTTGGAGATGAAATTGATGATTGATTCCATTTTGGAGAAAATCTCTAAATTGATGATTAATTCTGGAGGGAGAGAGGGTAATACTTTTATTGTGAGAAAACTTCTAAACTATACATGTGAGAGCGTACACATTTACCATTCAAACTAAATGCGTGTTCAGTGTAAACTACATTGAGAACTGAGAGGACTTTTGAAAAATAAGGAAATATTATTCCTGTTGGATAAAGTTGATCCTAAAATGTCCGAAGAACTTAGTTCACTATGATGTAGCGGTCGATATACTTTTTAGAGATGCTTTCAATGTTCAATTATACATGTTTCGAACTCAATTTGCATTGCTTAATTTGAGATATTGTTAGTTATGAGTTTTGTATATAGATATTTTTTGGTTTTTGACTTAAAAGTGTCTCAACAGATTAATGACTCAAAGAAGATAAAAGTTTATAAACTATTTTTTTTTGTTCAGAAGACTTTTTTAATATATGTCACAATATATAATAAACTATTTTACAGTTGATTATTTTATTATGTTTTATCTTTAGATATAGAATGTAGAAAATGGTTTGGAAGAATTCATTTTTGTTTGATTGTCTTAAAGAAAACAAATTTTTATTAAAAATTTATAAAAGTAGTATGAATATATTTCTAATCCCTAATTTTGTATTTAGAGTTATTAATTATTGAGAATAAAGTGACAAAACAAATGCTAACTGAAAAATAACTTGTTAACTTTGAATCATAATTTTCAAATTTGTATATTATAATTTTTTCTTTGTTAATATTCTAATGTTGGATTATAATCTAAATAAACAAACATATTTTAAAGTAACATTAATAGCAATTATTTTTTATCGATCTGAATATAGATTAAGATTTGGATCTTCTTATAAGTAAGTATATGGTCACGTTAAAGAGAGGAAGTTATAATGTTTATCTTATCTAATTAGTGGTTGCGGCATTCAATCATATTGGATCTTGATTTAATAAAGAAAGTATCTTTTCTCTTCAATACGATATCATGTTATGTAATAACACGAAAGAATTCAAATTCATAATCTTCAAAATAAACACATCCTAAAGGATTCATCATTTTAGAGGAGGGCTAATTAGACAACTTTTATCATATTTGTATTTTGAAGCGACTCTTTGGTTTAAATTATATTTTCGGATTATAATTATAATATCTTCTCATAATAAAAAACTGTTTATAATCTTGGTCTTATTCTCTCTTGATTGATAATGTTGTTAAAAATTATATTATAATTAGCATTTTAATCCATAATCCTTTTAAACTTATCAAATAATTTCAATTATTTAATTATATAAATTATATTATTTTATTCTATATAATTAATTTCTATATTATTTTAAAATATGAAATGTGTTTAAATTAATTTAAATTTGAAGATAATAGTATAATTTATAAGGATAATCTTTTAAAGATAGAACTTCTTAGAACGTAAAATATAATGATATAATTGACAATTTTATATAAAAATGACTGCTACATGCATTTTTTTAATTTGTTTTTAATGCAACAATTTGATTATTGTAGATAATCCATATGAAACATCTTAAATTCACATTTAAGTTAGCATATCATAATACAATTTATTTCAAATAATTGATGATTGATTAAGCAATTATATCTACAATATATTGTTTTTATAATTACTATGAATAGTTTTATCAGAGAATAATGACCCAATTGTGCAAGCCCAAGAATAATAAAACCCAAGCCTGAGATAATCCAACTCTGTTATTCTCTCTGTCCTTGCCTGTTGCTTGTCCTTGCTTTTTATCCTTTTTACAATTACTATTACTGTTTTGGATATTCTATTATGTACAAAGAGATTTGTAGCCTCTAAGGATCAATATATAGTATTGTACAAAGACACTGACAATGAAATAAGAATTCTCCCGCACATTGTCTAAGAAAAGTCTTGTCCCTAAATATCCATTATTCTTTGACAATCCAATCAAAATACATTCTTTATATGCGAAAAAAATGAAATAATTTATTGAAAAAGCAGGTTGGTCTTGTGATGAGTTCTGTGCCAGTTTTATAAGCTTAAACGTTAGGATGAGACTTAGTTAGTGTATTACTGCTAGATGTCGTTTTTCACATCCGATAACTTATTACTGCTATCTACCTTTTCTCTTTGTAATAATACACTTCTTTGGCCTTAAAAAAAGTAAAAGCATCTAATATTTATAGTTTACAGCTATAACTAGCGGAAGTTATCAATATCACAATCGGGAAGAGAGAGGAAAGAGAAAACGAGAATGATCAACGAAGGTTCATATATTATGAAGTAATATATATATATAAAATGTCAAGTAACAGAAAAGAAAAGGTAAACAGATATGTAACAAAAAGAAAAGGTAATCAGATATGTAACAGACAAAAAGAAAAGATAAACAAATCTGTAACAGAAAAATAACAAAGGTCTAACAGAAAGCTATAGCTAAGAGTCTCCCTCAAGCTGGGAATGAATATTAAGCAGTCCCAGCTTGTAACAAATATCTTGAAACAAAGTTGGAGATAGTCCAATAGTAACCTTTTCGTGTACAATGTGACAATCAATGTCAATATGGTTAGTCTGTTCATGAAAAACTTAGTTAGAAGCAATTTGCAATGCAGAGTGGTTATCACAATATAACAATGTTGGGCTAAGCGATGAACACGAAAACCAACAAGTAAGAATGTGATGTGAGCTATTGAAGCTTGCAAGTGGTGGAAGCAAGTGTACGGTACTCAGTTTCAGAAGCACTCCTAGACACCGTGGGTTGTTTTCTTAGAATACCATGATATTAATGAAGAACCAAGGTAAATACAAAAACCAGTTATAGAGCGGCGAGTGTCAACACAACCTGCCTAATCTGAATCATTGAAGGCCTTGAGTTGAAGAGGAGTGTTGGCAGAAAGATATATGTCTGTACTAGGTGTCTTTTTCAAATAGCGAAGAATACGAAAAACAGCTTGATAATGACCCTGAGTAGGAGATGACATAAATTGGCTCAAATGTTATACGACATAAGTGATGTTGGGGCGTGTGTGAGTTAAGTAGATAAGTCTACCAATCAGACGACAGTATATAGAAACATCTTGAAGAGGTTCACTTGAAGTAGAATGAAAACGAGTGTTGTAAGCATAGGAGTGGAAATTGGATGAGAGCCCAACATGCCATAATCAGATAATAAGTCAAGAGTGTATTTGCGCTGACAAATATGGATACTAGCTGCAGTACGAGCAACTTCAATGCCAAAAAAAAAACATAAATTGCCAAGATCCTTGATTTTGAAGGTGGAGTCGAGAGAAGAAGTAATGTAAGCAACTTCAATACCAAGAAAAAAACATAGATTGCCAAGATCCTTGATTTTGAAGGTGGAGTCGAGAGAAGAAGTAATCGTTGAATTTCATCAAGATCATCTCCAACAAGGATAATGTCAATAACATAAATGAGGAGAGCAGTAATCTGAGAACCAAAAAACTTGAGAAATAATGAGTGATTGGAAGCATAATGATAATATCCATGACTAGTAAAAAATGAAGAAAGACGTACATACCACTGGCGACTGGCTTGTTTAAGACCATAGAGAGAACATTGAAGTTTACAAACTTGTCCAATATGTAATAGAGGTAAACCAGGAGGGGGTTGCATGTATACCTCTTCATGAAAATCACCATGTAAAAAGGCATTATTGGCATCTAATTGTTTGAGATGCCAATTATTGTTAGCAGCAAGAGCAAGGAGTAACCGAATAGTTGTTAACTTGACAACAGGAGAGAAAGTATCAAAATAATCAAGTCCTTCCATTTGTGTATATCCCTTGGCAACTAAACGTGCTTTATATTGTTCAATAGATCCATCAACATTGTGTTTGATCTTAAAAATCCATCGACACCCGGTTGCAGTTTTGTGTGGAGGTAAATCAGTGAGAACCCAAGTATTATTCGTTTGTAAAGCAGTGAGCTCGACATGCATAGTCTTAAGCTAGCAATCAAAATTTTGCAGCCTTAACATATGTCTTTAATTCAGATATAGTGGAAATGGACAAGAGCTATGAAGCACTGACTCCGACACGGACACTGAGACACGACACGAACACGCGAACACGGCGAACTTCTAAAATATAGGACACCGGGACACCTTATATATATTAGACATGAATAAAAATTTAAATATGATTCAAATGAGAAATATATAAATTAAAAATTAAGATTTGTTCATTCATCTTCTCAAGACAAAGTTGTTAGACTTTAC